TAAACATCTTTCTGGTACTCTCTGCTTTTAGCCAAGATCCATCTGACATCAGCAATGATATCCCTCATTCCATGTCCTCTTCTCAATCTGGCTTGAATTTCTGGCAGTTCCCTGTCAATGTACTGCTGCAACTGTTTTTGAATGATCTTTAGCAAAATTTTACTTGTGTGTGATATTAATGATAAACCAAAAACAAACAAACAAACCCATTGCTGTCGAGTCGATTCTGACTCATAGCCACCCTATAGGACAGAGTAAAACTGCCCCATAGGATTTCCAAGGAGTGACTGGTGGATTCGAGCTGCTAATCTTTTGGTTAGCAGCCGAGCTCTTAACCACTGCGCCACCAGGGCTCCGATATCAATGATATTGTTTGATAATTTCTACATCCCGTTGGATCACCTTTCTTTGGAATGGCCACTTACATGGATCTCTTCCTGTTGGTTGGCCAGGTAGCTGTCTTCCAACTTTCTTGTCATCGATCAGTGAGCGCTTCCAGCGTTGCATTCGTTCGTTGAAACATCTCAAGTAGTATTCCGTCAATTCCTGGAGGCTTGATTTTTGCCAACACCTTCCGTGCAGATTGGACTTCTTCCTTCAGTACCATCGGTTGTTGATCATATGCTACCTTCTGAAATGTTGAACGTTGACCAGTTCTTTTCGGTACAGTGATTTTGTGTATTCCTTCCATCTTCTTTTGATGCTTCACGCATCATTCAACACTTTGCCCATAGAATCCTTCAATATCGCAACTGGAGACTAGAATTTTTTCTTCAGTTCTTTCAGCTTGAGAAATTCCGAGCATGTTTTTCCTTTTTGATTTTCTAACTCCAGGTCTTTGCACATTTCATTATAATACTTTACTTTGTCTTCCTTAGCCGCCCCTTGAAATCTTCTGTTTAGCTCCTTTTCTTCATCGTTTCTTCTGTTCGTTTTATCTACTCGATGTTCAAGAGCAAGTTTCAAAGTCTCTTTTGACATCCATTTTGGTCTTTTCTTTCTTTCGAGTCTTTTTAATGACCTTTTGCTTTCTTTATGTATGATGTCCTTGATGTCATCCCACAGCTCTTCCGGTCTTCAGTCATTACTGTCAATGCATCAAATCTATTATTGAGATGGTCTCTAAATTCAGGTGGAATATACTCAAGGTTATACTTTGGTTCTCATGGACTTGTTCTAATTTTCTTCAATTTCAACTTGAACTTGCACATGAGACAATTGATGGTCTGTCCCACAGTCAGCCCTGGCCTTGTTCTGACTGATGATATTGAGCTTCTCTATCACCTCTTTCCACAGATGTAGCCTATTTGATTCCTGTGTATTCTATCTGACTAAAACCTGTCCACCATGGGTGACCCCGCTGGCATTTGAAATACTGATGGCATAGCTTCCAGCAACATGCAAGCCACCACAGTACGACAAACTGACAGATGAGTGGTGGGAACAATATGTATAGAAATTGTTAAATAGGAACTTAATTTGCTGTGTAAACTTTCACCAAAAACACAATAAAACATATTTTTAAAAATTCTAAATTAGGCTAATGTCCCTAATAATAAAGAGTGTCTACAAATCAATAAGAAAAAACAATTCGATAGAAAAATGGACACAATTTATGAACAAATAGTTCTCAGGAATGGAAATACAAACGGCTTTAAACATGTGAAAAAATACTCAAGCACACTTATAATAAAGCAAATGTAAATAAGAGTACAGTGAAATGCCGTTTGCCATCTGTTAGATTGTCTTTTTTTTTAAAGTTTGATCTTTAACGACACTGTGCTGGTGAGGTTAGGAGGAAACAGGCACTCTCATTTGTTGCCAATGAAAACGGAAGTCCGTTTACCAATACTATCAAAATGAAAGCTGTGCATTCCTTGTGAGCCAGCATATCCACTTGTAGAAGTTTATCCAACAGATACATTCACACATGTATGAAGCGGCATTTACGAGGGGCTATTTGTTGCAGCATTGTTTGTAATAGCAAACGACTGGCAACAACCTGAATCTCCATTTGAAGGGATCTGGTTATATAAGTTATGGTATATCTATACAAAGGAATTTCATGTAATAGTAAAGAAAAAGAATGAGGCAGTGCTAAAATAAAAGATTCTCCAAGATACATTAAATGGAAACAAAAACAAGCATAAAATGATGTGTATTGTGCTCATCTATGAGTTTAAAGAAAAAAATATATTTGCACAGAATATCACTGAAAGATAACCTAATAAACGACTATATTTCCTCAAACCTAAGATGGTTGGTGCTGCTACGTCCCTCGTCCCTCTTCTAACCAGGAGATAAGATTCTCACACAACTGTGTCTGGATTGCCACCTGGCTGACAGCGATCAAGAGATAAGTTCTGATTTCAAAGAGGCTAAAATGTGACAGAAGACGAAAAGCCCCTTAGAATCAATTGAGCTAACAACACTTGGTGATTCTAGAGAGGGGGATAGGCAGCCTGTGGCCCCTGGGTGGGACAGACTTTTCACTCTATCATTTAAAAAATAAAATTATAACAATAAATTAAAATGATAATTTTATAAAGCGGGGTATAGGCCACGTTAATAGAATAGTATGGCTTGTGTTGTGAGGAAAAATATTTTTGTGTTTGTGAGAGCGCAGACTGTCTGTGGGGAGGGGAGATGGGTACATGAGTAACAGAAGAAAGGAGACTGACATGTAAACCCTTTTGTATTATTTGAAATTTATACTATATGTATTAACTAACCAAAAAATAAGAAACATGTTAACCTCATTTTTTTAAGAGTTAAAAAATGAAAAAATCAATAATGCTGGAAACACCAAAACCAAACCTGTTGCCATCGAGTCAGTGCCAACTCATAGTGATCCTGTGGGACGGAGTAGAACTGCCTGATAGTGTTTCCAAGGAGTCGCTGGTGGGTTCCAACTGCCAACCTCTTTGGGTAGCAGCCATACTTCTGAACTACTGTGCCACCAGGGCTCCAATAACGCTAGAGGACTCCTACTATTTATCAAGCACCTTCTGTGTGCCAGGGCCTGTGCTGCGTCTCTGATGAACACTGACAACTTCCCTGCAAAGTCAATACTTTACCCTCATTTTACAGGAGACTCATATTGAATCAGGTAGAAAATTCGCCAGAGGCCACACAGCTAGTGAGAGGCACAGCAAGGTTTGAACCCAGGGCTCACTCTTGCCAGGAAGGGGCTGGATGAAGTGAAGAGCCCTGTGCAGGTGGGGGTCCTTCTTCCTGCCTTGTCCCCAGCCCTCCTTGGTCCCGGGAGCCCCAGGGGAGGGCAGGTCCTGCTGATGCTAGAGAGAGCAAGGAGGGCCCACCCAGGGACTGTCTGCAGGCCCCCAAGGAGCCACATGTGCCCCCAGGCCTGGGGTCAGGGAGGCTGGTGGGTGAGGGCTGGGGCAGCACAGGGTGCCTGGGGCTGGGCCTCAGTGCGTTTGCAGAGCACCCACTGTGGTATCTGCCCCTGACCGGGAAGGCGACGGGAGCCACCTGGAGACCCCCAGATGCTGGGCTGTAATGAGGAACTGGCCCCACTCCTGGGCTCCAGCCTTTGCTGACCTCGGGGGGCCCCTTTTGGGTCTGAGCCCAGGCCCCGGCCCAGTTGGTCCCCATCCACAGAGGTCACCTATGACTCTGACCCCCACATTTTCTTGTGGCCCGCACCTGCAGCCTGGCTTCCGGTTGGAGTCAATTCCTGGTCTCTCAGGGCACTGTCTTGACGCTGAGTTTGCTGCCCTCCATCATGTCGTCAGCTGTGGGCCCAGAGCCAGGTCCAGATTGTCCCTCAGTCAGGGGCACTGACCCCCTTTATTCCATTCCCCCCTTTTCTCCCTCAGGACAGAAGATCCGACTCTGGGGCCACTTTACTATCTCTGAGTCTTTCGGGCCCGACTTGACTGTGATCCTCTCCCCAGAGCCCAGGACCCCTTCCTCTGCATGACAAAGGTGGGCGCTGCCCTCCCGCCTGGTCGCTAATCAGCCCGTTGTAATAAAAAGCCTCCCAATCCACATTCGCTTTCTTCTTTTGACCTCAGTCTAGGGTTGCCAGATTTAGCAAACAAAAACATAGGATGCACAGTTAAATTTGAATTACAGATAAACAACGAATAGTGTAAGTGTGTCCCAAGTATTGCATCCTTCATTTTACCTGGCAACCCTACCCCTGGCTGATTGCCCAATTATTTTATTTCCCCAGCATAACTCTCCAACCAGCCTGAAATCCATTTTCAGGAAAGCGGTCCTGTGTCCTGGGGAAGCCTCAGGGGTCTGGGGGATTTGCCCCCCACCTCTGCCCAGCCCCATCCTCTGGACTGAGTCGGCTCAGCTCCCTTCAGGGGCCAGGGCAGGACTCTGCACTGGAATCGTTTGAGGGTGTGGAAAGAACTTTGGGCTGAGAACTGGAAGACCTGACTCTGTAGTAGTCATCAGTCATTAAAGCATGAGCTTCGGGACATTGTCTTCTCTCTGAGTCTGGGCTTTCTTGGCTCAAAAATTGGGGGAAGGAGTGGAATGGATGATCCTTTCAGCTCGAAACTGCTTCTATGAGCAGCAGGGAAGAGGGGAGGATGGGGCCCCTTATTGGACAAAACTCTATCAGCACTAAATGTTTCCTGCTCCCTGCTCAGGAAGGTCGCCACTAGCGGGGAAGGAAGACATCAAGCAGAGAAGGAAGCTCCCTGTATTCCAGCTCTTCTTCAAAAACCAAGCTGTTAATTTAGCTGGTCGGGCACCCCAAGCCAAGGTGAAGGGTCATGACCACTGCTGAGCAGCTGGGACAGCAGCGGCCAGTGGCCCCAGGCCTGCGTGCCGTCCAGACGGCTCTTTGTGCCCTTTCCAGACAGCCCCCTCCTCCAGGCTCATGGACCTGTCTGCTGCTGAGCCCCCAGGAGGTCCGAGGGGTGTGCCCTCCCCCCTCCCTCCTCCCGCCCACCCCCTCCAGGCCCAGCCCAGCCCAGGGCGCCTATAAAGCTGGCCCCGGCCTAGCTCTCAGCACACCCTGCTGGGCCACAAGTCCCTCCTGCACCCTCCTCCGGATCACAGCCCTCTGCTCCTGGCCCCTGAGCAGCAGCATGTGGCCGCTGTGGCTCTGCTGGGTGCTCTGGGTGCTGGCCTTGGCCGGCCCCACGGCGGCCCTGACGGAGAAGCAGATCCGGGCCAGCCTGCTGCAGCGGCTGCAGCTCAGCGAGGTGCCCGTCCTGGACAAGGCCGACGTGGAGGAGCTGGTCATCCCTGCCCACGTGAGGGCCCAGTACGTGGCCCTGCTGCAGCACAGCCACAGGGTCCTCTCCCGCGGGAAGAGGTTCAGCCAGAAATTCCGAGGTGAGACCTCCCTCCCTCCATCCCTGCTGCACTCGGGCTGGGGCGGTGGGGTGCTAAGGCTGGTCATGTCTGCTCTGGTGGTGTCAAAGGGGCCCTGGATGGGGCTCTGTGGGGGCTTCCTGGAGGTCCACGGCCGCAGGGGCAGTGAGGAGGGAACATGGTCCTGGGGGTATGGCGGGCCTCGGCCCCTGGGCTCTGTTCACTGAGGGGCCCACCTCTCAGGGCCGGGAGGGCCAGCTGGACCTGCCGGCAAAGCCAGGGGAAGGATCAGTATCCATGGGGTAGGGGAGCAGAGTGGAAGGAGGGAGGGACTGAGACGAGAACACGGTCTGGCAAAGGCGGCTTGGTGCTGGTGGGCAAAGAAAGTGGCCCCAGCAGGAAGGGATTGTCATCCAGAGAAGAGATTCATCCTGGGTTCAGTTCTCAGCTTTGACACTTGTTACTTTGGACAAGTTATGGAACATCCGAGTCTATTTACTTCTCTAGAATGAGGTTAAATTACCTCTGACTAACCTCCCAGAATGGGGCCCTGATGGTGCAGTGGTTAAGCGTTTGGCTGTGAACCAAAAGGTCAGCAGTTCAAATCCACCAGCTGCTCCTTGGAAACCCTATGGGGCAGTTCTACTCTATAGGGTCACTATGAGTTGGAATTGACTCAACAGCAACGGGTTTGATTTGGGTTTGGTTAACCTTCCAGAGTTGACAGCATTAAATGAGACGTGTGGGGCAATTTAATATTTTTAAAGTTCATTGCTTGAAAAAGAGCAATGAACATAATGGGACCTGGATCCTATTGCAGCCTCTCACCTCCCTGGGGTCATCTCCCCAGTGCCCAGAGCCAGACCCACACCCATCTGCTCTCAGGCCAGGCCCAGGGCCTGAGGAGACAAGGATGTTGGCCTGAATACCTCAGTAGAGGTGACTGCAGGTGACATTATGACTCACTGGTCAGGTGGTCATGCTGCCAACCCGGAGCCTCAGGTGTTAGGGAAATGTGACCTGGTACCTCTGAGGAGGGCGTCACGCATGTCCCTGCCACTTACCTCAGGGCTCAGTAGCCCCCCAGAGGTTGTTTACAGGTACCTGGCTCCTTGGCCTCCTTTAGGGGAGATTTCATTGTGCCTGAGCACATTTACACAGACATACACAGAGAGACATACACAAAGCCAGTTGCCATTGAGTCAACTCTGATTCATGGCCACCCCAAGCGTGTCAGAATAGAACTGTGCTCCACAGAGTTTTCAATGGCTGATTTTTCAGAAGTAGATGGCCAGGCCTTTCTTCAGAGGTGCCTCCGGATGGACTCAACCTCCAATCTTTGCACCACCCAGGGACTCTAAGCTCACTCACCAGAGAGGGAAATAAGTAAATTCAAGCCTCTTGCCTTGCCCCAAGACTCCACTAGAGAAAGTTAGGTTTAGCTGGTGACCGAGATTGCAGGGCCTCTGCTCCCCCTTCTCTGATCCTGCTCCCAGTTCAGGGCTTCCTATCACTGTACAAGGCTGGCTTTCCGTACAGGTAGCAACTGTAGCCCCAATCTTTTGCTCCAGTTCCAAAGCTGCCCCACCCAGTGAGGGTGGAGGTTACTAGTAAACAAGCCCACAATCCCATAGGATTGTTTTAGGAGACTAGACCTGGCCAGGAAGATCTTTTGGGGGGCGGGGGCAGGACCCTCCAGTTTTCCAGCCCCCAAATTTTCCGTGGATTTCTGGGGAAATCCTGTTCACTGGTTCTGGGTCCTGCAACCATCAGTGCCCGGAGAGGCTCTGCTAACCCTGCTCGTGTCCCCAGAGGTGGCCGGCAGGCTCCTGGCGTTGGAGGCCTCCACGCACCTGCTGGTGTTCGGCATGGAGCAGCGGCTGCCGCCCGACAGCGAGCTGGTGCAGGCTGTGCTGCGGCTCTTCCAGGAGCCGGTCCCCAAAGCCGCGCTCCGCAGGCACGAGAGGCTCTTCCCGCGCAGCGCCCGGGCCCGGGTCACCGTCGAGTGGCTGCGCGTGCGCGACGACGGCGCCAACCGCACGTCCCTCATCGACTCCAGGTGCGGAGGCGGCGGCCGCGGGGTGCATGGGGCGGGACGTGGGTGCGGGGCGTCCTGGCTGGACCACAGGGAGGGGGCGGCCGGGAGAGGCTCCCAGAGCCCGGCGTGACCGCCCGCGTCTCCGTGTCTGCTCCCAGGCTCGTGTCCCTCCACGAGAGCGGCTGGAAGGCCTTCGACGTGACCGAGGCGGTGAGCCTCTGGCAGCAGCTGAGCCGGCCCCGGCAGCCGCTGCTGCTGCGGGTGTCGGTGCAGAGGGAGCACCTGGGCCCCCTGGCCTCCGACGCCCACAGGCTCGTGCGCTTCGCCTCCCAGGCGGCGGGGGGCGCGGGGCAGCGGGAGCCCCAGCTGGAGCTGCACACCCTGGACCTGAAGGCCTACGGGTAGGCGCTGTGGGTCGAACCCGTGAACCTGAATTACCAGACAGATCGAGTATTAAACTTGTTGAAAACGGCAACTTTTCAGGTTGCTGTGGGAATATGGTAACGAGATAATGGATGTATAATATTCCTACTTCAACTCTTAGGAGACCTCAGTAAACGTTAGTTGCTATTATTTATGTTTTGGGTATTCATTCATCCTTTATCACAAATATCCGGCTTTTAGAAGGTAATGAGAGATGGATCCTAAGTCTCCCTCCCAGATGCCCCACTATGCCCCAGCCTGGGCCTCCTGCCCGCAGCCCTCCTAGCTGACCTCTGACCCTGCCTCTCCTTGCCCCCGCAGAGCTCAGGGCGATTGTGACCCTGAGGCGCCAGTGACCGAGGGCACCCGCTGCTGCCGCCAGGAGACCTACATTGACCTGCAGGGGATGAAGTGGGCCGAGAACTGGGTCCTGGAGCCCCCGGGCTTCCTGGCCTACGAGTGTGTGGGCTCCTGCCAGCAGCCGCAGGAGTCCCTGACCTTCCAGTGGCCGTTTCTGGGGCCGCGGCAGTGCATCGCGTCGGAGACGGCCTCGCTGCCCATGATCGTCAGCATCAAGGAGGGAGGCGGGGCCAGGCCCCAGGTGGTGAGCCTGCCCAACCTGCGGGTGCGGAAGTGCAGCTGTGCCTCAGACGGGGCGCCTGTGCACAGGGAGCTGGGGCCGTAGGCGCCCAGCGTAGCCACCGAGGGACTTGGCTGTGTCAGAACTGTGCCAGGGCATGCGAAGAGAGGGGAATTGCTGGACGGTTGATGGACAAAAGCTCTGTGCTCCCTACTGAGCTTTGTTGTGTCCACCAGGAGACAGTCGCCAAGGATCTGATGGACCTCTGGGTGCTTCCTCTGCTCCCCTCCTAACTTTCATGTCCAGGAACAAGACTCTGGTCACTGGGTTGTCCCTGCCCAGTCTTCTCTGTTCTTGATATTATTCACTGCACTATTTCCTAAGCACTTACATGTCTAGATGCTGTAACTTAAGGTCAGAAACCACAAGCTGTCATTGTTTCTTGTCCTGTCACTGGGCCTGGGCTGAGCCCTGTGGTCTGGGCAGGAGATCCAGGCCCCCTGGGCCTAAGACCTGGGGGTCAAGTGTGGGTTGTACATCCCCAAACCTGATAATAAGGGCATTTTGCAAGAAGCAAATAATACACCTTTTATTCTGCAATCTTCTATTTCTTTTTTTTAACCAGAACGCTGCAAATTGTGAGCAGGGAACAAAAAGTTCTACAAGGATTAGGTTAACCTGATTGTAAAACTTAGGGGAAAACAGACTTGGCCAGGTCTCAGTTAAGTAATACAGGAAGCAAGGATTGAAATGCATTCAGATTCTACTCTGTGGTGTCTGTCCTCTCAGAATTGAGAATACAGGGAGAATTTTTTTTTGGCATTTTGACTTTTCTGGGCACAGTGGGTGGACTTGATTTCAATTTTACTTGCATCGAAATGAAAGAATCTCATCAAAATCATGAATACTAAAGGATGTGGGTCCCTCCTTTAGATTTTGGGGCAGATGAAGGAAGCAAATATTGAAAATGTTGAGTATAACATTTAGAATGCCAGGATCACAGGTGTTGTTAAGTTATGACATTGGGGCCTCGGGCTTGGATATTTTTGGTTCCTTGCCTGTCGGGACAGCTCTTACTGGCTGTAAATCCGATAACCTCCAAATCTCCATTTTCTTTGTCAAATAGAAACAATCTTTGACTTCACACTTTTACCAAGGGGTTAAGGAAATAGTTGTTACAAGCATTCCACACACTGCCTGACACCTAACAGATGCTATGGTTATCTCATATCTCAATTCACATTCTGATCCATCTCAACCTGGATTTTGAAATAACTTTAACCTACTGAAAATCAAATTTAGAAATCTCTTCCCTCTCCAGAATCAAGGACCCTAACTTCTTTTTTGTCACTGTCTCCTCCCTTCCAAGACGGGGGTCAATCCTGCACTTCTCTGGACCCCATGGCACAGACCAGGCAGATGGTGGCATCACCGAGGCAGGGAAGGGATGAGGACACGCAGGCAGGGCTGCGGGAGGCAGAGCAGACATGGTCAGTCTGAGGAGCCGGGGATGTCAGCAGGCCACACTCCCCAGGGGAGGCCGGGTGGGAGATACAGGTGTGGATTCTTGACAGCAGGAGCTAACAGCAGGAAAGGAGAGATGGCCAGGAGCAGTGCCCCAGGGACAAGGGCAGAGGGCAAACTGGGAGGCAGCTGATGGTTGAGGGTCTGGGAGGAGAGAAGAGGGGAGACAGATGAGACAGAAAAAGAGACAGGAAGGGACCCTCTCACCCCCAGCCCCAGAGCCGCAGGCTGGTGCTAGGACAAGGGCAGGGAGGTGAGGAGGATGTTTGTGTGTCATTACGACAGAAGATGAAAGTCCAGAAATGGAAGAGGGGAGAAGCAGGTAGAAAGCCAGCAAAGTTGCCCATGTGCGGAGTGAGGCGCTGTTCCGGATTCTACAGGTTTCTACCGCCGGAAAGGACCTGAGAGGAAGCCTTGGTGTAATCCCTCATTTCACAGATGGACAAACTGAGGCCTGCAGAGGTGGCGGTGGGAGGGCTGTGCTCTTCCACTTCGCAGCGCGCGCGGTCCTCACTGAACCCCATCTTGGGCCCTACCGGGTGCACACTCCGCGCCAGGCGCCGTGGGACTGGCCCTACCCTCGACGAACTTACAGTCTAATTGCGGAGGCCACTTGCTCATAGAAACATCTCTGTGTCCCTGGGCTGCGCGTGGCGGACCCAGCACGGGCAGTATCCGCCTTGGCCCCGGAGAGCCGCTGCGCCCTGCGTCTGGGCCGAGCGGAGCTCCCGAGGGCTATCACGGTTCCAGCTCTGAAGAGCAGCGAGGGCTCCCTATCCTCCCACCTCTTCACCCCCTCTCCCTCGTCGAGGAAATTCCATTCAACTCAGGGACATTTAGAAATGTTTGCAGATGCCCCCCCGCGCGGCCGCGTCCACCCTGCGCTTGGCCCCGGTCTTCCCGTGGTTATCGGACGACCTAGCCCCGGCGGCGCACTTCTGGGCAAGCTGACCAGGCCGGGGTCCTCAGAGGGCCTGGAAAAGCCTCGCAGGCTGAGCAGCGACCCTTGGGCCCGGCTGGGGCCGAGAAGCGCGGAGGGGCGCACAGTCGGGGACGCGGCCCTCGGCGTGGCTGCCCGCGCCCGCGCGGGTGAGGACTCCAAGCAGGGCTGGCAATGGCCGGACCTCTGCGCATGTGCAGGAAGCGCAGGCGTTTCACTTTGTAACTTTTAAGTCGGCGGGACGCAGCCCCGCCCGGCCAGTGCCAGCCAAGCCAGGTCGCCGCTGCCGCAGGTAAAGTGGGCAGGGGGTGTAGAGGAGAGGAATGGCCTTCCCGCCTCTCCTGGGGAGTGCGGGCTCGGGGGCTACGCCAGGTGCCACGTCAAGTGTCCAGTTCCGGGACGCGGCTCTCCGGCATCGCCAGCCCCCACCGCCGAAGCAGGGGTGACTTGGAGGGGCGGGACAGGGAGGAGAGGGTGAGTCCCGGGCCCGCGCCCCCTTCCCAGCCCTGCGCTCCTAGTGACTTCCTGACAGCTTTTCCGGACTTTCCTCTCCGAGGCTCCACCTTTTCGCTTTCATGCCTGGTCCGTTCCACCTCCCCACCCCTTTTTTGGGGGATTTGTTAACCGGAGTACGAGCTCCCAGTTTAGCCAGGAGCACAGCCATGAGGATTTTCCTTCTCGGATTATCAGTGAGGCGGGCCGGGGAAAGGGTCCCCGGCCGCCGGGGAGGCCGAACCACTTTCCCGCTGCCCCTCGGTGACCACTGCATGCTGCCTAGTGGAGTTCTGAGGAGGGAGGCTGGGGATATGAGGGAGGAGAAAGAAGGGTGAAGAGAGTTCTGCAAAGAAACTAAATCCCCTGAGATTCCAGTACCTGATATGACTGGCTACCTGAGTCCCGGGGTGGCCTTTGTCTTTCAGCCCCAGGTGGTGTCCCCAAGGGCAGGGTTGGGTAGTGTTATAGACCAAATGACCTCCAAGCTCCTTCTAGCCCTGAAGCTCTGTGGCTTTGTACTCCAGCCCCTAGATTGTTGTGGGTTTGAAGTTAAGCTTAAGTGAATGGTGCTCACCTGTACAGGTACCTGTGGGCTCAAGAGGGCTGTGGGTGGGATCCTGGGGCCTTTCTGAGGCCCTGACTCCGGCAGGGTCGCAGACTCCCACTAGGTGGGGATAAGGAAAGATTTCGGCCATCTCTACTGGAGAAAGAACCCTTAATCATGCCAAAGCCCACCGCCCCCACCCACCACCCATTTCTCTCCCTTCTTTCTCTATTCCTGTGACACCTGTCAGGAGCCCTCCAGTCTGCTTCTGCCTTAAGGTGGCTATGAACAGACTCCAGGGCTGCCTTTTCCCTTCACACACCCTTCTTGTTTGTTTAGTGTGGGGTCAAGTTCTCCTGGGTGTTCACTGGGCTCTAACAGACAGGACATCAGATGGGGCCCTGCCCTTGTGTTTCTCATTAGCTAAAGGGGTGACTTAATTTATTTTATTTTGTTGTTGAGAGTATCCACAGCAGAACATACACCAATTCAACAATTTCTGCACGTACAATTCAGTGATACTCATTACATTTTTCAAGTTGTGCATCCGTTCTCATCATTTCTTCCGAATTGTTCCTCTGCCATTAACATAAACTCACTGCCCCCTAAGTTTCCTATCTAATCTTTGGAGTTGCTGTTGTCAGTCTGATCACAAATAGATGGTTCTTACAGGAGCACAATGTTCAAGGCAGACATTCTTTACTAATTTAGCTAAACGATTTTTTGGTTTAAAGAAGACTTCAGAGGATATTTTTGGTTTAAGGTTTAAGATAGAAAAATTATCTCAGCAGTAGTTTCTGGGGTTCATCCAGCCTCCATGGCTCCAGAAAGTCTGGATTCCATGAGAATTTGAAAGCTGCTCTGCTTTTTCCCCATTTTGATCAGGATTCTTCTATAGACTCTTCAGTCAAAACACTCAGTAATTGGAGTGGTGACTTAAAATAAAAGCAAATAGCTTTTGAGCGCTCATTAGGACTGGGCCCTGCTCTAAGTGCTTTACAAGTATTATCTCAGGTATATGCCTCCCAACAGCCCTATAAGAGAGACAACATCACTCCCCCGCCCCCCCCCCTTTATGGAGAAGGAAGCTAAGGCACAGAGTAGTTAAGCAATTTTTCTATGTTATGTAACGGCAAGTGATGGCGGCAAGATCCTAATGCCGGAGCCTGCTCACTAACCATAGCGCCACACTGTCTGCCACTTCAGCCAGGGGCTGTATCATCCCTGTGGTGTCAGAGTTGATGTCTGTGGAGGTGAACAGTGGTCCAGATTTCTGGAACCTGTTTGGTGATACCTTAAGGAGGTAGTCTGTGTTTATTTCTCAAGCTTCTTCCATATCTGGAAGATCAGACTTAGCTCCTGTGACAGAAGGGACTGGAGCTGCTTGTAGTCCTGCTATCATCTTAACCAAATCGCAAGATCTGGTGTTGATAAAAATACGCTGCATTTGTACAGGGCCTGTTTTCAGATATGAGAATTCTCACCCACTTCCTGCAGCATTCTGCCAGCATCTCAGGAAGGGAGGCCTAGAGGTCATCTAGTCTACTACAAGGAGTCCCTGGTTGGCACAATGGTTAAGTGCTGGACTGCTAAACGAAAGGTTGGTGGTTCAAACTCACCCAGAGGTGCCTCAGAAGAAAGGCCTGGTGATCTGCTTCTGAAAAGTCACAGCCTTGAAAACCCTATGGAGCAGTTCTACCCTGCACACATGGGGTCGCCATGAGTTGGAAGCGACTTGATGGGCAACTAACAGCAATAACAAATTGCCTACAAGGGCCTCTTCTGCTGCCCCCGGGGGCATCATGGGAATCCTTGTTGTCAGCTCAGGCCGGCAGTGGGTTTACGCTGGTGGTTTACTTCTTTGGTAAGTTCGAGATCAGCTGCTGGATTCAGCGCTCTGTCCCACCCGAGCACATCACCCTCTCAGCTCCACACGGGCGAATTTTGGGTCGGAAGTGCAGCTGCTCATCCTGGCTCCTGGCCGTCAGTGGTAATTCTTGTCTTTCCCACCCTCAGGGTACTGGGGAAATGAGCTGATGAATAGAGCTCTCTGGAAAGCATGGATAAGTGGTAGGCATTCACACCTACAGGTATTTAGCAAATGTGCAATGATGCAATATTGCCAAGGGCAGGCGGCCAGGCAGGGCTCCTGTGGCCACAGTGCCTTCTTCCTAGTTTGGCGCCTGCCCAGCACTGTCAGTCTCTCCCATCACTGGTCCCCTGAGGCCCTCCTCCTCATCCTGGCAGGGCCTGCCCTGTAGCAGCTGCGTCCCCCAGCCAGCCAGACTGTCTAGCTGACTTCTTGGAGTGCGCCCGTTTGGGAGGATGCCCGCGGGTACCCCCTGAGAGCCAGAGGGGCCACAATGTCCAGCAGGATCTGGACTTCCTGTGTCTAACGGGCAGGGACTGAGCCGAAAGTTCTGAGAGATGAGATGAGGGCCCCCAAAGCTGTGCCCTCACCTGGGGAGGGGCGGGGCAGCCAGGACAGGCCACCCAGGCGAGAGAGCCGTGAGGTCCGCCTGACATGCCTCCCAGACTGGCAGAATTTGCTGGCTGACCACGCTGAGTTCTGGTCAAACTTTGGAAAACCACCTGGGAGAGCCTGTTTGGCCTGAGGAACATGACTTAAGAGCCCTGTGACGGGGGCTGAAGTGGGAGGAGGAGCTGCAGGATCTTCTATCCACGGGGCCTCTTTGCTGTGCTAACACTCCCGCGTACAGCAACCCTGGCGAGGGGTTCCCCACTCTGAGCACCCCCACAGCAGCCTCCCTTTCTGAGGGCAAGGCTCCCTCTGAGCATTTTATGGGGTGGTTTTTCCTTCACCTCACTTTTCCTTGTTTGTTCTATGGTGTTCTTTCTTCCTGGTTCTAGCCCGTGGGTGACCTTGGGGAGCCTCCCTGGCGGCAGCAGCCCTTGGGGCCCGCGTGAGCTCCTTGCTCAGCTTCTTACCGCAAGCCCCCGGCCCACAGTGCTTCTATGGGGTGAGGGGGAGGTAAACAGAGAGGACCCCTCTCCTGGCCCCAGCAGGGCCGCAGCCAGGGAAGAGGGGAGGGAGGCTGGAGCTGCAGGTGATGCTGGCTGAGGAGACTGGAGCAGGTGGCCCGGAGGAGCATGGCCAGGTGACCTGCTCCAGGGGTCTGCAGAGAGCCAGGGCCAGAGGGAGCCCAGAGGGCAGAACCAAAGCTCCCCATGAACGTTTGAGTTCAGAAACATCTGGGCAGGTTTGAGTGCAGGGGAAGTGTGCCCAAGGCTTTGAGGCTAGCAGCTCTGAACTGGAAAAGGGCAGCTCCTGTATGACTCTAGGCTCTGTGTTCCTTCAGAGAGGTCTGTAAAGGCTGGTGGCCCTGGATCCTGGGTTCAGGACACCCTGCAGAAAATGAGTAGGAGGCCCGAGGCCTGGCCTCCAGCAGCTTGGGAGGTGGTCCAGGCTGCCTTTGCCTTTGCCAGCAACAGCTCCAACTGAGAACCCCCGCCCCGGGGCTCTTCCACAGGCCCTCCTTCCCCTGGTTCCTGGTAAGTGTGGGGACAGGAAGGCATGCCTTCCTGCCTTGCAGTGTCGGGCTGGAGATGTTCCGTTTGGGTGGTGCCACTGGGTGGGGTTGAAAGGAGGGAAGTCAAAACCATCTGTCTCTCAAAGGAAGCTTTCATGACTGTTCTACGCCACCAGCTCCCTGGCTGTGCCGCCGCTACCCACAGCCGTCCCCAAGTCTCACAGGCATGAGAAAGTGACTTACTCTCCAGGGAATCCCCCCATGCCTTTGGACCTGCCAAACATTCACTCTTCCTGCATTTCTTGTTTTTTTTTTTTTTTACTGTCCCCAGAACAACACTCCCAGGAGTCAGAATTGGTAATCACCCCCCTTTTTAGTACCCCCCCCCCACTGTTACCACCACCCACCATGACCACCCCATAGTCCAAACATCTGTTTGGGCTTCTCCAAGATTTTTGTCCCTATAACAGGTAGAAAGACCAGACCTAGCAGAAGTCCCCCTACTGGGAGTCACTGACCCCTGGGAATTCCAGTTTAACCACATTTGGGGAAATAGAAGCTTGGGGGTGGTGCTGAGTGTGTCTCCTGGCCCTTCAGCCACAGACAGTGTGAAGAGCAGGCCGGAACTTGGGCACCGACTCCCAGGCTGGCAGTGTTGGGGAATCAACGCTGGAGATTCCCATCGGCCTCACCGGCTGCCGGGAGCCTCCGAAAGGAAAGCTTAGCAGCCCAGCCAGGAAGGGGTGTTTGCTCTGGAAATGTAGGGCCTTCCGGTCAGACCAAGGTGCCTAGGAGTGCCGAGGGAGGGAGGGTGAGAAGGCAGAGCTGGGGAGCATGCCAGGGACGCACAGTGGTGACCAAGGTCCCTGAGACTTCCTAGCCCACCCAGCACACCCCCTGTTTGCCTCCTCTTTCTGTCTCCTCACATCCCAGCCTCCTCTCTCTGGCTGCCTCTTCTCCTGCCTTCAGTCTGTCAGTGACTCAGCAGGAGAAGGAATGTGGCATGGTAAAAAGGAGGCTGGGTTTGAGACCTGTCACCGCCTGACAAGCTCCTCAGTCTTTGGGCAAGTTATCAAGCCTCGGAGCCTCAGTCTTTGGGTGTATCCAATGGGCCCAGCTCTGACATTCTGTGAACAGACCTTGTCTGTGGTCCGTATGTGACCCGACGTTGCGGACCTGCCTATTTCTCTTCTTCCTCTTTGCCTCTTCCTTTGCCTTTGTGGCCTGTCCCCTCCTCCCCTGCCTGTGTCTGGACCTCCTGGAGGCTCCCACGGGAATGACCTGCCCAGGGGTGAGCCCGGAGCCCGGCGGAACTTCCACACCTGTGAGCAGGCGGCCGCGGCAACGCCTGCCCTTCCCTTTCTTCTTCACCCCGCTCTGGGGAGTCTGGGGTGTGTCCCGGCTGAGTCCATCTGCTCCGACCATCTGACCTCTGGGACTGTTTCCACAATGTCGCTATTCTCTATGGACACTGCCAGGCACGCAAGGGCTGTGGTGCCTAGCTCTCCCCCATTCTGCCCTGCTGGCTCCCTGTGCCCCACCAGCCCTTTGGGGAAGCTGCGGGAGACTTTGAGGCCTGATGACCACCCCATCCTGTTCTCCAGGGAGGACAGGCGTGATGACCGACTCCCCATTCCTGGAGCTATGGCACCCCAAGGCAGTGTCCATCCGTGAGCGACTGGGCATCGGGGACCAGCCGAATGACTCCTACTGCTACAACTCAGCCAAAAACAGCACCGTGCTCCAGGGGGTCAACTTTGGCGGTATCCCTGTCGTCCTGCTCATAGACGTCAGCTGCTTCCTGGTGAGCCCCCTCGCGAGTCACACCCCTCCTTCAGTTATTTCTTTGATTAACCCCCCACCCAGGGCCTTCTGGGAAACTCAGGTGAGTGGACAGACACACCTGGGTTTAAATCCCAACTCTGCTACTTACCAGCTGCATGACCTTTGAGCCTCAGTTTTCGGGTCTGTAAAATGGCGATAATCCTTATCTCAGAGGGTTTTGGAGAAGCTTAAATGAGGGGATGTAGGTAAAGAACACACATAACTGTTCCTTAGATTATTACCATAATTGAGGAGTTCTCAGCCTGTTGTATCTTCAGGGTCTTTGGGAGGTTAGTCCCACAGGAGTGAGAGATGGGAATGGAGAGTGTTGACTAGAAATAGAGAAGTTGCAGTTTCCGACGTATAAATGTCACCCCTGCCCCAGCTGGCATCCCTGGGGCTTTTAGAGACTCAGAAGTGGAGGAAAGGAGAAAACTGAAAAGGGACATCAGAGCTGACCCTCAGCAGGTGGCCTGTCTCTAAGGTAGAGCTCCTTGTCCCCTGCCCAGTTTTAAATATGTCCTCTTTCTTCCTTATACGGACTGAACATTGGCTAGTTGGGATTTGTTGGGGTTAAGGTGCGCTTTCTTTTCACAAATGCCCGTGAGATGGTCAATCGTTCATGATGCCTTTTCCTAACATGTAGCAGAGACCACCTGAGTCAACAGGGTGAGTTCTGGTGTGGGGGTAGTAGACAGTCTTGGGCTCCTTCGGGCAGGAGGCTAGGCTTGGGTGGGGAGCCGTGGGGAGGGGCCGGTTAGGGTAGCATGAGGGTCCCAGTCCCTATGGGAAAGAGTCGTGAGATGTAGGAAGGAAGGCTCTCAAACACAAGTTTGCTGGCACAAAAATGTTTGTAAGAAAGAGGGAAAGCTCTCCTTCTCTCCCAATTTTTAGTCCCGAGAATTAAAGTCTGAATTGTTGCATTAGAGTTTTGCTACATTGTTGGTCCTCTATGGGCTGATGTGGAAACATGCTTGCTACCTACTTACCTTCATGAAAAAGGGTTCTCTTAGTAACAAACTAACCAAAAGCTTGGCAGTTCGAATCTACCCAGCAGTGCCATGGAAGAAAGGCCTGGTGATCTTCTGTAAGATTATAGCCAAGAAAACCCCGTGGAGTGCAGTTCTACTCTGAAGCACATGGGGGCGCCATGAGGTGGAATCAACTCGACAGCAATGGGTTTGGGTTTTGTTTTGTTAAGTACCAAATAACCCAGTCACTGGAGCTAAAATCCGTTTGTAGATTGAAAACACGCTCATGTTTACCAACGCTGGCTGAGAGAGGGGTGTAGGCAGGGGTGCGTTGATGGGTTTGAGAGCCCCAGTTTGTGGAATTGATGGAGCATCGGGTGCTCCTGGATCTGTGATCTAGAGCCTTCAGGATGGGGAGGGTTTGGGCAAAAGTAGAGAGTCTGGGGAGGAAGGCTGGGCAAGGATCCCCAGGCAGGCTGGGGTGGGTATGGCTGGAACAGCGTTGCTTGAGAAGTGAGTCAATCTCCAGTGGTGTGTGCTAGTGGGGGGTGGATTTTTATTGCAGGAAGTTATGGAGGGGGCACATATGAGCCAGAGGGGTCTAGAAACATGGACTCGTGGGAAATGTGAATGGTACACATTCCAAGAAAGCAGCAGCTGGGGGACAGAGAGAGTGGCGCTGGCTGAGCAGCCATTGTGTTTATCCTGCAGCATGGCTCACTGCCTTTGAAAATAAGTCACGACTTCCTGATGCACCTTGAGAAAATCCCACGAGAACTCAGCACCTCTGGATCCCCTTCAGGAAACAAAACCCACATTTTAACCCCAGTATCTGACTAGGGCAGGCAGGGATATGATATTTTGTTACATTAGTTAAATTGTATCTCTCTACCTCCCCAAAGCTTGAGGGATGAGAGCCTGTCTAGAGATGGGCAAGAGGCAGGAACAGGCCAGGGAACCTGCAAAGGTGGAGGTGTAGGGAGTAAGGAGACAGTCTAGAATCTACAGGGGTTTGTAGAGACTGTTAGTCCAGCCCCTCCTCTTGTGCAGGGCACACAGTTCAGCCAAGATCACCCAGCTTACTGGAGGCTGAGCTGGCACAGGGCACCAGCCCTCATGAGCACCACTGCCCCCATGCCCACTGTGGGTCTACAGGGCTGGCCTTCAGGTGAACCAAACTCAAATGAGAAATCTGACCATTTCTTGCTCAGCCTGGGGAGTTCTGCTACCTTGGTTCTGTAATTAAAAATGAAATTTCACATAAAGTGAAGAAGGGGGCTGGTCCTCAGTGCTGCTGTAAGAGCAAACCCTGCCTTCCTGCTCAGGGGCCCCTGAAGGCAGATCAGAGCTGAGGAAGGTTGTGGCTGTTGATGGAAATTACAGAGCTGATGTATTTGACTAGGAGTGCGCCAGGGAAGGTTTGGTGTCAGCCCTGACAGACCTTCATGACTTGAACATAAATGAAAGTATCTAGGGGTGAGCAAAGCATTGACCATTTTGCTGTGTGGCCTTGGGCAGCTCAGTACCCTCTCTGATCCAGAGTTACCTCATACATAAAATGGCCTTGATGATATCCAAGGCCCTTCTACCCCCCAATTCTAGGCAGGTGGGCTTTGCCCCTAAGATAGCTGTCTTCTCTAATTAGAAGCCATCCACTGTGTTTTTTTGTTTAATTTCTTTTCTACTTTTAGATTTTAATATTGGTGTTTTCCTTCATAAGAAGAAGATTCTGGGATTACGGCCGCATTGCTATGGTATCATCAGAAACAGAAAGGTAAAAAAGATACATCGTCTAGAATGTGAGTGTGTGTGAGTGTCACAGGCATGGGGAGGTGGGAGCTGGGCATCCCTGGGTATGGGCTTTAGGGCCTGGCCTTGCTTCCTTCCTCCTTAGCCACCTGCCCAGAGGTGGAAACAGAGGCAGAGTGGGCTGAGGAGGAGGTGGCTCTGCCCCCTGCCGTTAATGAGCTGTGGGCTTCCTCCTGGCAAAGCTGGTGTCTGCTTCTCCCCCTCTGCCCACTCCGGACGCCTTAGCCTGGTTGCAGCTGGATGTTAGTGGCTGTGTGCAGCTGGGCCCACACGTGATGCTGATATTAGATTGTGTTCATCAAGAATATCTACCAGGCCTGTACCAGAATCTCCGTTCCCTCTGATCTTCCCACAGACCACGAGGTCCACTGCAGGACCCTCGTTGTGCCTGTGAGAACCATGAGAACCTGAAATTGTCTGTGGCCCAGAGCTAGTAAATCGTGGCCCCAGTTTCTGTCCAGACCCTGTGCTCTGCGGGTTGGTGGTGGTGGTCTCAGCTTGTCCCCTGTCTGTGGGGTAGACTTTTGATCACCCAGTGTTCCCACTGCGGGAAGCTCTTGTTTCCCCAGCCCGAGGGTCACAGCCCAGCTCTCCCAGGGCTTCTGGCCAGGCCGTGACTGCAGACCTTGTCTGCTTGAGGCTCCGGAGGACAGCTAGTTGTTTTAGCTGTTTGAGGCTTTCATCATGACTGAGGAGGATGCCAGTTTTCTTTTTCACCTTGAATAGTTTAAACTATCTTCTTTTTAAATTGGAACCCCTGGGTGGTCAAACGGTTAACAGGCTCAGCTGCTAACTGAAAGGTTTGAGGTTCAAGTCCACCCAGAGGAACCTCAGAAGAAAGGCCTGGTGATCTGCTTCTAAAAAGTCAGCCACTGAAAACCCCATGGAGGACAGTTCCCCTCTGACACACACGGGTCGCCGTGAGTAGGAGTTGACTTGACAGCAACTGATTTTTTGGTTCTTTGAACTGATTAGCTTGGGGGTGAGAATGGGGTGAAGTGGATTAAGAAGGGTAATAGGTCCGAGGCGAGCTGTTCCTTCCTCCTTCAGGATCAGTGTGGGTGACAGCTCGAACTCAGCTGGCTTCAGATGAGTCCACACCTCAGGTCCTTCCAGCTCTATCCTGGGCTCTGACGGCTCTCTGCTTACTTCACCTGAAGGACGACAATGAATTACACATCTGCACAGCTGGAATTTCCAGCTCCAGCTGGCTGTTGCAGCCCAGGATCTTGTGTCAGATATGGCAGGAGGAACCGGGTGGGGTAAATACAGGCTGGCCCAGAGCACAGGCCAGAGCCTCCCCTGGAACACCAGGCAGACCCCTCAAGCTCACCCCCCCAGGCTAGTGCTGAAATGAGGTCTGGGGGAAGGGAGAAGAGTCCTCTGGACCAGGAAGAGGAGATATAGGTACCTCTTCACAGCTGTGAAGGCCCATTCTTTCTCCACATAGGCATTTATGAAAGCCCGTGGGTGATGATGACTTCGGGATTAGGTGGTGGAGCCTCTTGCTTCATATGGGGGCTGAACCTTTTGGCACATCTGGTGCATATACAGCAGTTCACCCCCAGGAGGTGAATAGATGATAGAAAAGAGCACTTGGAAATCAGAGACCCCTACCCACCACCCTCCTGGCTGTGTGGTCTTGGTCTTGCACTTACTAGGGTTGATGTTCTCCTGTCCGCCTGTTATGGATTGAACTGTGTTCTCCAAAAACATGTGTGGGAATCCTAACCCTGCACGTGTGAGTCACTATGAGTCAGAATCAACTGGAAGGTTTTTTTTTTTTTTTTTTTTTTTTTTTCTATTATGTGGATGTAATACCATCTGGGAATAGGATTTTCTTTGTTATGTTAATGAGGCTATATCAGGGTAAGGTATGTCTTAAACCTAATCATTTTTTAAAATTTTATTGTTGTACTTTAAGTGAAAGTTTACAATTCAAGTTAGTCTCTTATGCAAAAATTTATACACACATTGTTATGTGACCCTAACTGCTCTCCCTACACTGTGGCAGCACACTCCTCCTTTCCACCGTGGATTTCCCGTGTCCATTCGACCAGCTCCTGATCCTCTCTGCCTTCCCATCTCACCTCTGGACAGGAGCTGCCCGTTTAGTCTCATGTATCTACTTGAGCTAAGAAGCACACTCTTCATGAGTATCATTTTATGTCCCATAGTCCAGTCTAATCTTTGTATGAAGAATTGGCCTCGGGAATGGTTTTAGTGCTGGGCTGACAGAGAGTCCAGGGGCCGTGCTTTCTGGGGTTCCTCCAGTCTCAGTCAGACTGAGTCGTTTTACTAGAATTTGAGTTCTGCACCCCACTTTTCTCCTGCTCTGTCAGGGATTCTCTGTTGTGTTCCCTGTCAAGGCAGTCATTGGTGATAGCCGGGCACCATCTAGTTCTTCTGTAAACCTAATCATTTCTGAGAAATAAAAAGAGTAGATCAGGCACAGAGACAAGGAGAACAAGCGGGAATACAGAAGCACATGTGAGGACCGCCAGGGAACCGAGGAAGAGAAGCTGAAAGAGACAGAACTTTCTCCCAGAGCAGGCAGAGAAAGCCTTCCCCTAGAGCCAGCACCATGAATTCGGATGTCTAGCCTCCTAAACCATGAAAGAATAGATGTCTGTTTGTTAAAGCCACTCACTCATGGTGTTTCTGTTACAGCAGCCCTAGATAACTAAGACACCACTCTTCACACGGGCACAGTGAAGATCAGATGAGCTAGTGTATCTGTAAATGCTTTGAAAGTTACGTTTCATTGTGTTTTATGTCTTTGGTTGTGGGATGGTGGGGCCAGGAGTAAGAAAATAGAGGAAAGCAAAAATTCACATATTGCAAACTCCCCGGATACATAGCACACAGGATGGTTTTACAGGGTACTCAAAAGTGAGCTGATTCAAATGCCATAATACAAAACGCTGTGGTTCAGTGACTCTAAAGTGCGCATGTTCACGTCTCTGAAACCAGGATGCATCTTATTATCGATGGTGGTGTTTTAGCTTCCTAGTGATGCGGTAACGCACATACCACAAGTGGGTGGCCGTAAAGAACACTCATTGATTGTCTCACAGTTCTGGAGGCTAAGAGTTCAAGTCAGGGTCTTGGTCACGTCACTTCCCTCCTTGTTAGTAGCCCTGGATGTTCTTGGTTTCTCGGCTTGTAGACGATCCTTGTGGCGTCTGTCTTCCCTGTGAGTGTGTGTCTCTGTGTGTAATCTGCTCTTTTTATAACTCAGAACTGATTAGGTTTAGGACACACTCTACACTGGTATGGACTCATTAATATAACAAAGAAAACCCTATTTCCAAACAGGATTACATCTGTAGGTATAGGGGTTAAGATTCCAGTACATATTTTGGGGGGACACAGTTTAATCCATAACATTGTACCCTTTACCCAATGCCATCGAGTCGATTCTGACTCATAGCAACCCTGCAGGACAGAGTGTAACTGCCCCATAGGGTTTCCAGCTGGTAGATTTGAACTGCTGACCTTTTGGTTAGCAGCCGAGCCCTTAACCACTGCACCACCGGGGCTCCTTGCACCCTTTTGGCTCCCAAAATTCATGTCCTTCCACGTGCATAACACATTCACCCTATCATATCATCCCCTTAAGTCTTAACCCATTCGGTATCAACTCTAAATCAATTACGGGCGAGCCTCTGGATGTGGTCCATCCTGGGGCAAAATTCCTCTCCATCTGTGGAGCTGTGAATTAAGTTATCTGCTTCTAAAGTACAATGGTGGAATAGGCACAAGGTAGACATTCCCATTCCAAATGGAGAGAAAGAAGAGGTCACAGGAAACATGCAAATCCCAAACCCAGCAGAGCAAATTTCATTAGTTCTGAAGGTTTGAAAATGATCCTGTTCTCTAGGACCCTTGGGAAAATATCCCTACCGTCTGGACTCTGGGCATTGGCTAGGTTCTGGGTAGGGGCCCCTCAGCCCTGGGCATCAGCCCTGCCTTCTAGGCCCACTAGAACAGAGACCTAGCTCCCTGGGCTTTGGGTAGCCCCATTCTCCTGGTCCACCTGAATGGTGGCCCCACTCCTGTGGCCCTAAGTGGTTCCATTCCCCTGGCCGACTGACACAGCAGCCATCCTCACCAACTTTGGGGTAGTGGTCCTATTTTCTTGGCCCGCCTCAACAGCAGCCCCACCCTCTGGAACTGAGCTACTGTAGTTATTTTCACCTTACCACCAGTGGTGTCTTAGATTTGGTAAAGTATTTATTCCAAGTTTTATTTGGTATATTAGGAAATATATTGTACGCAGGCAACACTTGGAAGTCACTTTAGATAGACCAGTCACCGTGCGTAGACCAGTCACCAGGCTGAGGTTCAAGGATGTGTCATGCAGAGACAGTCTATTAATGCCCCAACTCTGTTATTCATCCCAAGGGTTAGAGTTGTATGTTGACCATACCTGGGACTGGTCCATTGCCCTCAGCTACATTTTTCACAGGGTGAATTATATTGTGTCACAGCCACTGAAGGCTGGTAGCTTTGGTCCTGAGCTCTAAGAGGCAGCAATATACAGGACATATATTTTTAGACTTTTTAAAATAATTATCTGCCTTTTTTGTCCCCCCCTTTTTCCCTCTAGTGAGTCTAGATTCCGGAGGCTGTCATCTTCTTCCTCCTCAGGGCAACAAGACTTTGAAAATGAGCTGGTTGGTATTTAAGGGACAGTTGTGGTTGTGGTTGGGCTGGGAACCCACAGTAATAATTTCAAGGGCAGGGCTGTGGCGCTCCTAGTGAAAGATCTTCTCTACATCAACATAAGCACTCGAGCTTGGAAAATACCATAGGGAAGATGGCCGCCTGGTGACCCAAGGTGATGAGACTAGAGCAACTCACAGGCAGAACTGGCCGTGGAATCCCCTGAGCTTCCCCAGCACGTGTCTCTGTCATCCTCGTCCTGGCTTTGCGTTACAGTGCGTTACTGACTTGCTGTTTCCCTGCTGGATGGGAGCCAGATGTGGGCAGGAATCATGTCTTAGCCAGCCTGTTCCCCGGCACCACCAGGTGCTTAGTAATTGCTGAATGAATGATGAGCAAATATTTATCTTTCCCAGCTGGGTAATAGCCCAGCTTTAGGGAGTATTAACCTTAAGAGATGTGATGGACATTAAAATCTATCAACACCCTTTCCCTCCCTAAATCCCGCTGCAGAAGACTGTCAGACTTACTAGGTTTGTTTCTCTCCTTTGTCCCACATCTTAAGCAGTCATTTTGAAATAATGGATGGAATAGAAGTCCACACCAATTTCGACAGAGCTTCCCTGGGCTTTCATTTAGCTCTTGAGCCAAGTTTCATGATTTGACCGTGGAGCTTGTGTGATTCTGCAAAGTGTCCAGACACGGCTGGTTTCTCAAGAACTCTATGCACGTGGTGCATATTACAATGGACTGGGGAACATGTAGACTCTGTCATGTTTGGTGCAAGGGGCAGCTGGCTGAATTTGGGACAGAAGCATTATTTTTATACAACAGGAAGCTAAACGGTTATTTAAGGTCAAAGATGATGATTACGTATGCCTCTCAAAGGCACCGATGTTGGACACTAATCTGAGTTCTTTCTGTTTCCAGGGATGCTGCCCCTGGCTGACGGCCATCTTCCGCCTGAAGTAAGTACAGTACAGGGTGATGGTGGGGCCTTTGTTTGGCGGGTTTGCTTGGTGTTTGGCCAGTCAGGAAGAAAGAGCCAAGATATCTGATCCTGAGACGGGGTCTCTCACGTACTTTTCCGTTCAGGTCAAGCAGTATGTGGGGGCTGAGAATAAAGATCAACCAGGCAGCCCCCTGGGGGATGGGGGCAGGGAAGGAGAAGGTTTCTAGGATGGGAGTCTCGCTGATGGAGATGCCAGCCCCTGCTGTAGCGCAGGACTTCCCAAACTGCAGTTGATCCCAAGGACTTCTTGAAGGTAGCAGTGAACTTTTAATTTCAAAATATTCAGTGGAAATTATACATTCATCCTTCATAATGCTGCACAAGCTAATTAGAGCCAGTTTTTATATCCATTCAATATCTAACATTGATTAGTTGTGGATGGAAGCTCTACTAGGCAGTTTTGTGTGTCTTTGAATTAATGAAAAGTAGAGAAATAAAGTAATTGTGACTTAGTTAATACATTCAGCTCATTTGGTTAAAAGTTTTCTTTTTTTGTTTAAAACTTGGGGAGCATGGAGAGAAATCCTGAAAGAGGTCCTTGGTGATTAAGAGCTGGTTAGTCACCTCTCCTGTGGTGGAAGGAGCACTAACTGGAAGTCAGGGACCTGGATATGAGTTGGCTCTGCCACCTGCTGTCATATTCCATCAAATCTAAGAAGCCTTCATTGTAAGATGGACGTATGAAAGAGGAGTCCCTGGGAGGTGCAAACGGTGAATGTGCTTGGCTGCTAGACAAAAGGTTGGCAGTTCGAGTCCACCCAGAGGTGCCTCAGAAGAAAGGCCTGGCCATCTACTTCCAAAAAACCAGCCACTGAAAACCCTGTGGAGCTCAGTTCTACTCTGACATAAAAGGGGTCGCCGTGCGGCCGAGTCAACTTGAAGGCAGCTGGTTTTGGCTTTTTTTTTTTTAAGAAAGAGAGAATGCTGCCCATTAAATTATGGTCACCTTTTGATTGTAGAGTGCACCTCGTTTCAGAAGTGAAAACATGAAAAAGGACACCTTAGATTTGATGAAATACGGTAGTTATATGACATTGGGTAATATATAACTCTCTGGCCTCAGTTTCCCCGACTATAAAAAGGGCCAAGGATAGTACCTGCTCTGTCTACTTCAGATGGACTGATACATGAGAGTGTTATGTCAGAAGTCAGGTTTGCTGGGAGGTGTTATCAGGGGAACTGGCGGGAGGCAGAGTTTCTGAGGCAGAAGCTAGTGACCTCTGGTCTGGAGCAGCAGGAAGCAGGAGAGAGTGTTTCCAGGAAGGGAGGGAGGGGACGGTGGTGGGAGAGGATTTGTCACCCCACCCTGCAGAGCATTGGTGGTTTTGTGGTAGAATTCAGTTTCCATGTGGGAGACATGCGGCCAGGGTTTGAGTCCTGGCCCATGTCCCTGATGCACAGCCACCTCTTGCCTGTCAGTGGAGGTTTGCATTTACTATGATGCTGGATAGGTTTCAGTAGAGCTTCCAGCCTAAAACAGATTAGGAAGAAAAGCCTGGTGATCTGCTTCTGAAAATCAGTCGGTGAAAACCCTATGGATCACAACTGTCCAATCCACAGCCGATCATGGGGGTGGCATAGGACCTGATGGCATTTTGTTCTGTTGTTCATTGGGTCACCGTGAGTCAAGGGCTGACTGGATGGCAGCTCAGAACGGCAACACCCTTCCCTGAACACCAAAAAATCACATCACTAGGACGCGTTTCCTTCTGATGCTGGAAGTCATAATGTTCTGTGCAAAAAGTTCATCAAAAAAGGAAGCAAAAAAGATAAAAAATTTAAGTCTCCCATAAGCCCACTTCTGAAAGCTGCTCACTGCGTGGTTTCCACACTCTACGGCCACTGCTGGTTGGGGCTCTGCCCACCCCTACCCTACTCATACCATACCCATCACAGGCCTGAAGCCGATAACGCTTTTTTTTTAAAATAATATTTTATTGTGTTTTTGGTTAAAGTTTACATAGCAAGTTAGGTTCCCATTTGATAATTTCCACACAAATTCTTCAGTGACGTTGGTTACGTTTTCCACAATGTGTCAGCTTTCTCTTTAATTGCGTTCCGGTTGTTCTGTTTCCAGTGCTCTAGTTTCCCTGCTCCCTTTTCTTCTCTGCTTTAGAGTAAATGTTGACCTTTTGGCTTCATACAGATGGTTTTTTAGTAGGGCACCATTCTTTTTTTTTCTTTTTTTTATTGTACTTCAGGTGAAGGCTTACAGAACAAATAGTTTCTCATGAAACAGTAGTACACATATTGTTTATGACATTGGTTAACAACCCCACAACATGTCCACCCTCTAACTTCCCAACCCTTTTTTTTGGTGAAAATACACATAGCCAAAGATATACCATTTCAAAAATTTCTACATGCACAGTTCAGCGACATTGACTACACTCTTCCAATTGAGTACGGCACCATTCTTATGGATAATATCTTTTATTTTGTGATGGGTAATATCTTTTCTGTGCCACTCTGCTGTTTTGCTAAAAGATGATCTCGGGATAGTTTTGGTTCAAGGTTTAAAGAGCGTCTCAGGGCGATAATCTCAGGGAGTCCTCTGGTCTCAACTGGTCCAATGAAACTTTGACACAGAAACTTTGATTTAATCATTTTCATGTTAACCAGCAAAGGCTGTTAATGAATTTCAACCTCAATCCCTCTATCTTGCACCTTACGGCTCTCATTGTTCTGTGCTCTCTTCCGTTCTCCCATGGATGGAAATGCGTTTTTCATTGAGTGGGGTTGTAGAGTGTATGCGGCTCCGTGCTCTGCGTTCTCATTTTAATGTTATATCAGAAAGATCTTTCCATTTCAACTACCAGTATTTTTTTTCCCCCTAGTTACAGAGCAGACTACCCTTTGACTTTTTTAAAGCTGCAATTAAATTTTAACAGCTGCTCACAGCCAACATTTCAAGGAACACGCAGAGAGGCCTCTCAGTTTCTTTCCATGCCTTTCCTCAGTAAAATGGGGAAGTCAGAAGCGCGTCTCAAGGAAAACTGTAGACGAAAATATTAATTGTTGGTTGTAATCTTCATTAATATTCATTTATAAAACACATGGCAAAGTGTGTGCATTTTGGTAGTTTATTTAGAAGTGAAAACAATGTAGTTAGTTGCAAAGTTTTGTCCTCCACATAAATAGTAAACATCAACAGTATCAGCAACCACGTTTTTTGAGCCTCTGCTATGTGCCAGGTACAGTCTTAGGTGCTTTATCCCCATTGTCTCTGTTGAGCTCTGATGAGTCAGTGGAGTCAGGTGGTTGTCCTTGTTAGCTGTCATCGAGTTGGCCCCTGACTCATGGTGACCCCAAGTACAGCAGCGTGAAATGATGCCCAGTCCTGCACCATCCCCATAATTGGTTGCCACTTGAACTGTTGTGATCCATAGGGTTTTCATTGGCTGATTTTCAGAATTAGATCAAAGGCCTTTCTTCCTGGTCTGTCTTAGTTTGGAAGCACTGCTGAAAGCTGTTCGGCATCACAGCAACACACAAGCCACCACTGACTGATGGGTGGTGGCTGCGCATGAGGTGCATTGGCTGGGATTGAACCCAGGTCTTCTGCATGGAAGATGAGAATCTGCCACTGAACCACCACTCCCAACAGTGGGTAGTAGTTTCTCTGCCTTCTGTCTGAGCTCAGATAAGTCACATGGCCCGTTTCCAGTCATGTAGCTGAGAGGTGGCTGAGCTAGGGTTCACCTTTGGTCAGTCTGACTGCAGAGCCATGCTTACCGCCTTTCCGATCTTCCTTTTGTACAGCTTGTGCAGTGCTTTCCTATCCTTCTGGGAACACAGCCCTGTCAGGAGAGAGGGAAAGAGGCAGGGAGACCCCCCTTCTCCCTCTGGAACACTGAAGTCTGGCTGTCTGACCCTGGGATTTTCCAGGTCCCCAGTCGACCCAGAGCTTCTAGATACAGCACTGAGGGTGGAAAAGGGCAAATAGGCCACTTGCCTATCCCTCAGGCTATGGCGGCGTCACAGGGAGGAGGCAGGAGGGTAGGATGGACTGAGAGTTAGAATGTTTGTAACATTGGCTCCATCTCTCTCTCCCAGCTCTCCTGAGGGGAGACTGGAGGAAGGGGTGGGGCCATGAGCCTGGACACACTTCCCTACCTCTGAACGTGATTCCCAGCAGCCATCTTGTCAGTGACTTTGTTCCCAGAAGCAGCGAAGGGCTGTGCAGTAATTTCATTCATGTACCACAACCACAGATGTTTCTAGTGACATCAAATGGAGTGATGGTCAGTTCTTCACCCAGGAGTATGACGTAGGGGCTAACAGTGGGGGCTCTGGAGTTCGTGTCGTAGCTCAGCTATTACAAGGTCTGTGATCCTGAAAGTTACACAGCTTTTCCATACCTCTGTCTCCTCTTAAGTTAAAAAAAAAAAAAAAAAGGGATAATAATAGACCCTACCTCATAGGATAGTAGGCCCCAAGGACCCTGTGTGGTACTGCCACTCATTGAGATTCTGTGTGTGTGTTTGGCCAGCAATGACCAGATCCTGGAGTGGTGTGGAGAGGATGCCATCCACTACCTGTCCTTCCAGAGACACATCATCTCGCTGCTGGTGGTGGTCAACTTCTTGTCCCTGTGCATCATCCTACCCGTCAACCTCACAGGAGACTTGCTGGGTAAGGAGTCTTCTCATCCTTGTCTGTGTGTGGCCTGGACAGAGCAGCGGCCCCAGGGAGAGAGGGGCTCATTGTGGTAGACCAGAGCTCCAGGATTCATGTTCAAATTCAGATGTGAGGTCTTGGGGTGACTTTCTGAACTTTTCTGTCGGATTATAGATATGGAGAGGAATCCACCCCAAACGTGGGGCCAAGAGGTGGGCCTCCAATATAAATTCTGGTTGTAACTGATAGGAGAAAAAAAAAATCTATAGAATTAGGGGCTTACAGAGAGTATTTTATACTTTCCTGCCCTCATGCAAATTAGGAGGGCACAATTAGTGGGCCTGGAAAAATGTTTGTGATGCTCAAAAGTCAAATTCAGAGTGTGGAATACCATCTCTAAGTAACCGCAGGAATTTGTAACCAAAATGCCATCATGGATCCACTTATTATACCCAGGAATTCCCAGGCTTTGCTTTGGCAACAGTTTATGATGTTTCTAGTTTTATTACAGAGTTCCATGAGAATCTCAAAGCAAGATGAATCCAAATTTTAACTTTACCTACATGGTAGGTTGAGAAGAAGTTGTCAGGGAATATCTCAGAGTAAACCAGAGGCCTTGGTTAGCATAGTTCTGGAAAGACTGGACGTCATTGTCTTCTTCTTTTTTTTGGTTATTGTTGTAGTTTAAATGAAGTTTACATTTCAAGTTAGTCTCCCATACAAAAATTTATACATACATTATTATGTGATTCTAATTGCTCTCCCCATACTGTGACAGCACACTCCTCCTTTCCACCCCTGGTTCCCCATATCCATTCAGCCAGCTCCTAACCCTCTCTGCCTTCCCATCTCACCTCCGGACAGAAGCTGCCCATTTAGTCTCTTGTGTCTACTTGAGCTAAGAAGCACACTCCTCACGAGTATCACTTTACATCCCACAGTCCACTCCAATCCGTCTTAAGAGCTGGCCTCGGAAATTGTTTTAGTTCTGAGCCGACAGAGAATCCAGGGGCCATGCTTTCTGGGGTTCCTCCAGTCTCAGACCATTAAGTCTGGTTTTCTTACTAGAATTTGAGTTCTGCACCCCACCTTTCCCCTGCTCCATCAGGGACTATCTGTTGTGTTCCCTGTCAGGGCGGTCATTGGTGGTAGCCAGGCACCATCTAGTTCTTCTGGTCTCCGGCTGATGAAGTCTCTGGTTTATGTGGCCCTTTCTGTCTCTTGGGCTACTGCTTTCCTTGTGTCTTTGGTGTTCTTCATTCTCCTTTACTCCAGGTGGTTAGGACCAATTGATGCGTCTTAGATGGCTGCTTGCAAGCTTTTAAGACCCCAGACACCACTCACCAAAGTAGGATGCAGAGCATTTTCTTAATAAGCTTTGTTATGGCAATTGACCTAGATGTCCCCTGAAACTATGGTCCCCAGACCCCTACCCCTGCTACTCTGTCCCTCAAAGTGTTTGATTGTATTCAGGAAACTTCTTAGCTTTGGGTCAGTCCAGTTGTGCTGACTTCCCCTGTAGTGTGTGCTGTCCTTCCCTTCACCTAAGATAATTCTTATCTACTATCTAGTTAGTGAATAACCCTCACTCTCCCTCCCCACCCTCATAACCATCAAAGAATGTTTTCTTCTGTGTTTAAACCTTTTCTTGAGTTCTTATAATCGTGGTCTTATACAATATTTGTCCTTCTGTGACTGACTAAATTCACTCAGCATAATGACCTCCAGATTCCTCCATGTTATGTTTCACGGCTTCATCGTTGTTCTTTATCATTGGGTAGTATTCCGTTGTGTGTATATACCATAATTTGTTTATCCATTTGTCCGTTGATGGGCACCTAGGTTGTTTCCATCTTTTTGCTATTGTGAACAGTGCTGCAATGAACATGGGTGTCCATATATCTATTCGTGTGATGGCTCTTATTTCTCTAGGATATATTCCAAGGAACAGGATAGCTGGATCGTATGATACTTCTATTTCTAGCTTTTTAAGGAAGTGCCAAATCGATTTCCAAAGTGGTTGTACCATTTTACATTCCCACCAACAGTATATAAGTGTTCCAGTCTCTCTACAACCTCTCCAGCATTTATTATTTTGTGTTTTTTGAATCAATGCTAGCCTTGTTGGGGTGAGATGCTATCTCATGGTAGTTGTGATCTGCATTTCTCTAATGGCTACTGATGGTGAGCATTTCTTCATGTGTCTGTTAGCCACCTGAATATCTTCTTTGGCGAAGTGCCTATTCATATCCTTTGCCCATTTTTTAATTGGGTTATTTGTCTTTTTGTTTTGAGGTTTTGCTGTATCCTGTAGATTTTAGAGATTAGATGCTGATCGGATTTGTCATAGCCAAAATTTTTTTCCCAGTCCGTAGGTTGTCTTTTGACTCTTTTGGTGAAGTCTTTTGATGAGCATAAGTGTTTGATTTTTAGGAGCTCCCATTTATCTAGTCTCTCTTCTGGTGCTTGTGCATTGTTAGTTATGGTTTGTATTCTGTTTATGCCGTGTATTAGGGCTCCCAGTAGACGTCATTGTCTTCTGATGGGTCCAATCATCTTGTTTTCCTCCTTCTCAGAACTCACAGACCAAGGCTGATTATGCCCCCACTTTCCCCAGTGTAGCCCTGAGCTAAGTCTCTGTTTCTCTGCAGATAAAGACCCTTACAGTTTTGGGAGGACCACAATAGCAAACCTACAGACTGAGTGAGTATGGGGCAGGCTAGGGATAAGGGTGGGTAGTGAGGGTGCTGATGGCTGAGAATCCAAGGAGAAGGCAGATTTGAGAGCCCAGGATAGGCCGGAAAGTAGTCCAAAGCAGGCTGAAATGTCTGAGAGCCCTTTTACAGCTAATATATTGCTGGGTCATGGGCAAGAATGTGCTACAGGTAGCCTCTGTTTGCAGGGGGTTTAACAAAACACTCGGTGGTGCAAATGGTTAAGTACCCTACTACTAACCGAAAGATTGGCAGTTCGAACCCACCCAGAGGTGCCTCGGAAGAAAGGCCTGGTGATCTGCTTCTCAAAGGTCACAGCCTTGAAGACTTTATGGAGCACAGCTCTACTCTGTAACGCATGGGGTCACCAAGAGTTGGAAATGACTAGATGGCAACTGGTTTTAACAAAACACATAGGCCCTGTGGACCTGGAGTTCATTTGTCAGAATAGGGCCAAGGGGACCTCTCTGAAGTATGCATTGTGGGCCAAGAACCTTTGGACTGGTGGCCTCCAATGGGTGGTGTCTGTTGTGATGAAGCCATTGGTCCTCAGCTCAGTGGCCAGGATAACCAAGCCCTAGCCCCTACCCAACCTCACCCTCCACCCCGAAGGCCAGCCCTGATAGTAGCCCATGTCCTCCCCTCAGCAACAACCTTCTCTGGCTGCACACCATCTTCGCTGTCATCTACCTCATCCTCACCGTGTGCTTCATGCGGCACCATACCCAGTCCATCAGGTACAAAGCAGAGAGCCTGGTGAGTGACCCAGTCCCAGCCTGAGGCTGGTGGGTTGAGAGGGGGGGCTGTGCTGGGGAGGGGTCTCAGGTGGGAGCCAGAGAGGACAGCATATAAGGCTTATTCTCCAGGACCATGATAGCAGCAAACCTTTGTAAAGAGGGGTCTGTCAGCACTTGGGGATCTTCCCCAGACAGCAAACAGCTTTTATAGAATCAGAGTCCCCTTGAGAACATTATGCAGAGTGAAATCGGTCAGTCACAAAAGGGCTCATGTAAAGTGTAATCTCACTTACATGAAATAGGCAAACACATAGCAACCAAAAATAGTGATCACCGAGGGAGGGACGGGGCAGTGAAAAGGGAGTTGGCTTAGGGTGCATCGAGTTTATGTTAATGGTGGCGGAATGATTTGGAAAAGGCGGTTGAGAATGGTGGCCCAACCTGAAGAATGTAATCAATGTCACTGAATTATACCTGAAGGAATTGTTTCAGAAAACAAACAATTTGATGAGCTCAGTGCAAATGAATCAGAAACATATAGATTCAAAAAAAATAAATAAGAGGGGCCTGTGTAGAATCTGGCTTGCATATTTATGCTCAAACTTGACATTCTCTCTTTTTTAAAAAATTTCCTGGTAGATAGTTTTAGGATTTGGATATTCCTCTCCCCTCCATTCTGCCAACTAGCCCTTTGATTTGTAGGGGTTGGGCTCGTAATTAACGAGTCTGAGTAACTTCTAAGAGGTCTGGCTGAAGAACAGTCCCTCTGTCTTGGCACCGCACGCCACAGTTTGGTGGCTGGTGGGGGTATCTGTTACAGGGGTTCCAGGCCTTGGTTCTCCGCTGATCTTTGTGGCCCTACTTGAGTTACTTCGCCTCTCTGGGTTCTTTCTCAGTATCCTGTCTCACAAAGGAAGCTTAGGGTTGCTGTGAAAATGTATCCTTTCTACAGCCTTGGAAGAAGATGATATGTAAATAACCCCCTTCAGGGCTCTCCAAGGCCAGAAAGACCGAAAACACGAGCCTCTGTCAGTCTTCTGATTTCCTGTTGTTTTTTTTCTGGAGGCTTGAGCAGGGCTGAGAACCTGGACCCACCACAAACTGGCTTGCCCTGGTGTCTTTCTCTGGCAGGTGAGACGGACCCTGTTCATCACAGGGCTCTCCAGAGATGCCAACAAGGAGTTGGTGGAGAGCCACTTCCGGTAAGCTGGGCTGTGGGCACCCCTGAGGGGCCAGGACGCTGCAGCGGGAGGGATGGGGAGAGGAGCTGAGCCCCCTCCACATGGGAACAGCACAGTCCCACAGGGCAAGGTCTTCCCCCTGGTTACTGGGTGAGATCTGAGAAGGGCCTGTTCCTGCCATATGGGTATCAAATGGCTATCGTGAGCCAGGCCAGTGCTGTGGCTGTGGGGGATCGGCATCCTCCACGTGCAGCCATGCTGCTCACGTAACCGCAGTAGAGTGAGTACATGCCAGAGTGTAGGTGCAGAGAAACACCGTCAGAGCCTTATGGGAAAGAAGATAATTTATGGTGGGGCTCTCAGTGTCAGCTTTGTGGAGTCAGAGATACCTGAGCTGAGCCTTTGCGCTGCCTCACAGAGCCAGAGGGTCTCAGAGGTAGAAGGACCTTAGGGCCATTTAGTGGTTCTTTGGGTCACTCATCCACATAGCAGGCATTTGGTGAGTGAGCACTCTGTGTCCTGCTCAGGTGGTCCTGAACGGCTCACCGTTCAGCCGAGTTCCAAGCTTTCCCCTGGCCTGCCCTCCATTCCAGCAGCTCCAGATGAGTGTCTGCACCGATGACTCCTCCAGGTGGAGGCTGGAAGGAGGGCTTTTCTGTGAGAAGGAGATTATGTGCGCAATGCTGTGAGTGCAGGGAAAGGCCCCACGTGGCTGATCTGGAGCATCAGAAAAGGGAGAGGGGAGCAGGCTGGAAAGACTCCTGGGAACCCCATAGTGGAGGGCTTGAAGTCCTCCTCTGGACTAAGGAGCTGGGGTTTGAGTCTGTATTCATTCTTTGTCAGTTCAGCTGTCACTAATTTGTAGTATGGACTTGTTAGCTGCTGTCAAGTCAGCTCTGACTAATGTTGAGCCTATGTCTAACAGAATGAAATGTTGCCTGGTCCTGTACTGTCTCCATAATCGTTGGCAACTGGACAATGATCTTTTGTGCTCCGTAGAGTTTTCATTGGCTAATTTTTGGAAGTAGATTGCCAGGCCTTTCTTCCTAGTCTTATTCGGAAGCTCCACTGAAACCTGTCCACCATGGGTAACCCTGCTGGTATTTGAAATACTGGTGGCATAGCTTCCAGCATCACGGCAACGCACAAGCCACCACAGTAGGACAGACTGACAGATGAGTGGTGGTAGTACAGACTAGGGGGTGGCTAAAGTTTAACTTTGTATTATTCGTGAGCAGAGCACTTGCTAAGCAAATTCATAGTATAAACAGAATTATAAAATGAGTGTCTAAAATGCATTGACTAACTTCTTCAGAAACTCTGCTATTCTAGACATATTTACTTATGCATAAACACTTGATTCTGTAATCGTTTTTCTCTATTGGTTGAAACAACTCCTCAAAGGCTACAACTTTTGGCAACATTTAGAAACAGTAGTTCCACTTATTATATAACCTTAAAGAGAGAGAAAATGTCCACATATAATCATACCTTCCCCTGTTTTAGGAGACCTTTTTTGTGAACACCTGCAATCCATGAGGATTGCCAAGTGAATTTGCCTCGTAGCTGTTCTTGTTGTTAGTTGCCATGGAGTTGGTTCTGACTCATGGTGACCCCATGTACGACAGAATGAAACATTACCTGGTCCTGTGCCATCTTCAGGATTGTTGGTATGGTCAAGTCTATTGTCATGGCCACCATGTAGTTTGAGTACCTCCCAATCTAGGGGGCTCATCTTCCAGCTCTATATCAGACAGTATTCTATTGTGATCCATAAGGTTTTTATTGGCTAATTTTCAGAAGTAGATGGCCAGACTTTTCCTCCTAGTCTTAGTCTAGAAACTCCATTGAAACCTGGCCACCACGGGTGACCCTGCTACTATTTGAAATACTGGCAGCATAGTTTCCAGCATCACAGCAGCATGCAAGCCACCACAGTGTGCCAAGGTGACAATGGGTGGTGGTGGTGCCTTAAAGCAGGATGCTTAGGTTGGGATTCTCTTCCTCAAAGCTCTCAGTGGGGCCTGAAATTATCCTTCTGATTAACTAAATGATTGACATGTCTATGGGTTTCTCTCTTCCTAATATGTAAGCTTTTCCAGGCTTCATCCCCAGCACCTAGCATAGGGCCTGGCACACAGTAGGTGGGGATTTACATGGTCCAGGAGTCCCCAGAAGTTACATGTACAGTTCTGTGTGTGTGGTGAGAGAGCATCTCATGGTAGCTGTGAGCACGGACTGGATCGGGGCTGCCTGATTCACATCCTGGCTCAGACACTCACGTGCTATCACTTAACCTCTCTGGGCCTCGGTTTCCTCATCTGTAAATTGGGGACAAAACCACAGAGGTTATGGTGAGGATTAAATAAGTCAATATATGTACCGATATCTGGCCAATAGTGCTGTATTTTTACGAAAATAACATGCACCTCCTATGACGGTTTGCCAACTGCACCCTCCCCCTGTGACGTATTCTGGTAAGCGTGATATACTAATTTTTTACAGCAACATGTAAAAAAAATTGGCATAGCGGTGCCTAAGAAAATATGAGGGGAAGGCGCAGTTGACAAATAAACATAGAAGGCATGCATTATTTGTGTAAAAATATGGTAAATAAGTATGTAAGTATTTTTGCTATGATTGTTAATGTGTGCGTGTACATTTTCTCGGGTGAGGGTCCTTTACTTTTATTATTGTTATTAGCTGCTGTCTAGTCAGCCGCCAACTCGTGGTGACCCCGTGCACAGCGGACGATTGTGGTCCATAGGGTTTTCACTAGTTGGTTTTTGGAAGTAGGTCACCAGGCCTTTTTGCTAGTCTGTCTTAGTCTGGAAGCTCTGCTGAAACCTGTCTAGCCTCATAGCAACATGCAAACAGACCGGTGGTGGCTGCGCCCGAGGTGCATTGGCTGGGAACTGAACCCAGGTCTCCTGCGTGGAAGGTGAAGATTCTATTTCTGAACCACCAGTGCCTCTCTTGCTTTTGTTAGACCCTCTAAAAATTCTATGACCTTCGAAAAGATTACGTACTGAATAGAATTTCAGTGATGGTCCAAGGTAGATACTGACCTAAAGCACACAATAAATACATTATTTTGAGTGGGCAGCCAGGGTAATGGATACCCATAACCTGTTGCGGTCGAGTCAATTCCGACTCGTAACAACCCTACAGGACAGAGTAGAACTGCCCCATAGGGTTTCCAAGGAGTGGCTGGGGGATTCGAACTGCCAATCTTTCGATTAGCAGCTGAGCTCTTAGCCAATACGTCACCAGGGTTCCGGGTAATGGATAGTGTTCATTTTTTCCCGTGAGAAGTGCCAGCTGACTTAAAGCCAAGTGGATATAAACTTATTAATTCCAGGCAGTTACTGTTATGCTTATTCAATAAGTCTCTTTGTATTAAATTTCAAAATTGCCCATTTGGTGAACAACACAGAGAACAAGGTCTTTGCTGGCTCCAAGTGAGCAGCGTGCGTGACTGCACGCCATCCTTGCCCTTGGAGACTGGGGTTGGGGAGCTGCCTCTCCACCTGGGGTGCTCTCTTTTCCAATGGTCGTCTTTTGCCTCCTGCCCTGGCTGGGCACAGGGACGCGTATCCCACATGCCAGGTGGTGGAGGTCCAGCTGTGTTACAATGTAGCCAAGCTGATGTACCTGTGCGAGGAGAGGTAAGGAGGGTTGGTGGGGTGGGAGTGCCATGAGTGAAGCTGGCCTGGAGCTTTCTCTCCCCTTTCCCCTAGTGATGCCCACCCCTCCATCCTGGCTGGCCTCGGGTTCCCCAGCTGGGAAGGGAGGAGGGTGGCTCTGCCCCTTTCTTGTTCAGAAAGCTGCCCTCCCAGCTCTGGCTTTCTGACCGATGGCTGAATGTGGGTGCGGGGCCCGTACCCCAGGTTTGTGCATCTGAAGCTTGTGTCCTCCCCACACCCCACCCCCGCTGCAGGAAGAAGACCAAGAAGAGCCTGAGGTATTACACAAACCTGCAGGTGAAGACAGGCCAGCCGGTCCTCATCAACCCCAAGATCTGTGGCCAGTTCTGCTGTTGTGAAGTGTCAGGCTGTGAGCGGGTAAGGGCCTCACAGCCCAACCAGGAGCGTGAGCGCTGGCTCCCAGGTTCCTCTGCCACCTGCACAGAGCCATGTGTTCACAAGGGCTCTGTCTCCCGGCAGGAGGACGCCATCTCTTACTACACACGCATGAAGGACAGGCTGACGGAGAAGATCGCAGAGGAGGAATGTAGGTTCCAGTACCAGCCTTTGGGTATGGCCTTCGTCACCTTCCAGGAGAAGTCCATGGCCACCTAGTGAGTGTGGGCATGTCCCAGGCCCTTTCTGGGCTGTCTCTCTTTGGCCTTTAGTCACTCCCTGTCTCCCTTCAGATGGCGTGCTCTCCCTCTTGGATAAAGATGATATGCTTAGTGCTGCTGGGATTTGTAGGTGACATTTCCATGTCCTTCCCCAGGTGTGGCTGGGAGGCAGTCATCTGCACGTCCTCCCCGGGTGACCCCACCCCATCCTTGTGCGACAGCGGGTGGGTGCTGGGTGTGGGCAGTGGCCATGGAGCAGGTGACACTAGCTGGCCCCTGGAGGGGTGAATGGTGGCCTTGCTCTGCTGCCGGGCTCTCACCAGCCATTCCACGGCAACGCATTGGCTCTGCCAGGTGGGATGGATGCCAGCCTCCCCTCAGATATCTGCTCCAGAGCTACAGACCCTTCTCTGTTTGGGGGCTTCACGTCTTCCTACAAATGCAAAGCAGTGGAAGAAGACACCTGGCCTCTCTAGGGCGGTCACTGCTGTGGGAGCCCGGCCCTGGGGAGATGGGTTACCAGTGCCCCTTGGTATGGGTGTAGTGTGCCAAGCATGGTGCCTGTTTCAGAGCATTAATTATAATAAAATAATAAAGCAAAGGTTCTGCACCATGAGGCTGCCAGACCACCATATGGCACTCTTCCTCCATTCTCATCTGCCATGTATCATGTGGTCCCGGGTGGGCTGGGCCCTGACCGTCTGCATGCCCCAGCAGCATCCTGAAAGACTTCAACGCCTGCAAGTGTCAGGGCCTCCAGTGCAAAGGGGAGCCCCAGCCGTCTTCCCACAGCAGAGAGCTCTGCACCTCCAAGTGGACCGTCACCTTTGCCACTTACCCTGAGGACATCTGCTGGTGAGCTCCCAGGCCAGGGGCGGGTGGGAGAGAGAGGCCTGTGTGCCTGGCGGGGGGGAGTGGTCCTTGGAAGCACAGGTCTGACAAAACACTCAGTGACAGTTCCCAAGTGGAGATCTGCACACGCCCCCTGTTACTCTCTGGGCTGGGGGTGCTATGACGTACTTGCTGTGTGGACTCGGGGTGTCCACACCCAGCTCTTCACTCCAGTTTTACTCTTCAGCGTTCCATGTTGTCCAGTAGAAATATAGTGCAAGCTACAGATGCAATTTTATATTTTCTAGTAGCCACGTGGCACCCCAGTGGCACAGTGGTTGAGAGCTCGGCTGCTAACCAAAAGGTTGGCAGTTCAAATCCACGAGTCACTTCTTGGAAAGCCTATGGGGCAGTTCTACTCTGTCCTGTAGGGTTGCTATGAGTCGGAATTGACTCAACAGCAATGGGTTTGTTTGTTTTTTTAGAAGCCTCATTAAAGAAGTAAAAAAAGAAACAGTTGAAATTATTTTTAATAACATATCTTATTTATCTTATTTATCCCAAAATATGTCCAAAATAATTAACATTTCAACATGTAATCAATATAAAAATGCTGAGATATTTTACATTCTCTTTTTCATAACTCATCTTCAAAATCTGGTATGTATTTTACACTTACAGGACATCTCAATTCAAACTAGCCACACTTCAGTTGCTCAATAGCCACATCTGGCTTGTGGCTACATATTGCATGGTGCAGCCTTAGGTCAAGTGTCAGCCACTTCTCCAGACTGGGGACACCTTGGTGAGCTAAGCTGTGCCCACGGGGGTCATAGGTGAGCCCTAAGCACAGTGGCCAGGTGAGGGCAGCCCCAGCAGAAGCCCCAGTGGGCCTGCCTCGGTTTCTTGCACGGAGTGAGCTTTGGGTGTCTGTTCTAGTTCAGCCTCTGGCATTTCTGCTCTTTGACTCACAGGGCTTTCTAAACTTGGGATAGGTTTGTCTGTCTGTTCTTGGTGGAGGTGAGTGGCCAGGGCAGATTCCAGCTGGGCCTCTGCCCCGTTGTGCCGCTCTCCCTGCTCCCTCTCCACTCATGGCCCCACTGGGAAGAATGTGTCATTAGTCACAACGCACTGCAGATAATGCCTGAGGAATGCCACTCAGTGTCTTGTTTGCTCTTAGGGTACTTGCAGCATCTCTTTGGGTAGGTTCCGGCCCCCACCTGGCCGGGGAGCCATGTTAGCAGTGAATAACCTATTTTCTCTCTGAGCTCCCGGAGGCCCAAGATTTCCCTTCCCATAGCTGAAGGTCAATGCAGAGAGCTTGCCTTTACTCTTTACTCCCGAGCCCCAAGGGAGCCCCCACCAGAGCCAGCCTCAGGCCTACCTAAGCCACGAGCACTGTTGGCATCACGGGGCGGGGCCAGAGCCTGGGAAGATAAGCCTCTGGGGCCTGTGTCCTCTTCTCTGTAGGAAGAACCTCTCGATCCAGGGCCTCCGCTGGTGGCTGCAGTGGCTGGGCATCAACTTCACTCTCTTCGTGGGGCTGTTTTTCCTGACCACGCCCTCTATCATCCTGTCCACCATCGACAAGTTCAACGTCACCAGACCCATCCATGCACTGAATGTGAGTGACCCAGGGCCCTGCAGGGCCTATCCCAGGCGGGCTGGTGAGAAGATGGTGTGGTGGGTGTGGAAGAAATGGGGATCAAGGTGGGGGTGGGCGAGAAGTGGGGGGTGGGGTGGGAGCAGCACCAGACCAGGAGGCCATATCGCTCAGCGCATGACTGTGCTTTTAAGCCCTGCGCAGCCATGGCCATGTTAATAACAATGTTTTTATAATAGTACCAATAATAATAATTTTTAATGCAATCAATCGAAATGTTCAACAGTGGGGGGCCATTTGAGTTGATGGGGTACATTCAGTCTGATAGAAAATTAAGCATCCATTAGAAATTGTATAGACTTTGTGGCAAGCACGGAGGGCTTATGATAAAAACAGAATGTAAAAGTGTATCCAAGCAACGGTTATAATGATGCGGCTAGTGACGTGTGAAGGAGCCCTGGTGGCACAATGGGTAAATGCTAGGCTGCTAACCGAAAGGTTGGCGGTTGGGACCCACCCAGTGGCTCTGAGGGAGAAAGACCTGGGGATCCACTCCTGTAAAGATTAAAGCCCAGGAAATCCTATGGGGCAGTTCTACTCTGTCTCCTGGGGTAGCTATGAGTTAGAAATTGACTTGACAGCATCCAACAACAGTGATGTGTGTGTACTGTGGGCACTACTGGGAGGGAGCAGGACAGAATGAAAAGAGCTCTGCTGGTTGGGGTGGCAGGATCATGAATTATTGATTTTGTACTTTAGCTTCTGATAATCTTCTTATAAAGTCATTTATGCTCTATAGGTAATGCATGATTCAACGAACAAACAAAACATGGATGAGTTGAGCTGATGAGATAACAGCTAAATGCTCCCTAAGTTGGGATCTGCTTAAAAACCTTGCTTTCCCGTATCTAGCTTTACTGAAATACCCCCCTAAATCTTTTCTTTTTTCCATTTCCATTTGGCATTGGTGATTCACCCTCTGGGAAGGCACCGTGGGCTGGAGGCCTTGGGTCCTAGCCCTAGCTTTCCATCTGCTAGCTGAGTATATTCTGGGCCTCGATTTTTTTCATCCAAAAACTGGAGTTAAAACACGTGCCATATTATGCTCATGGGGCTGTTGAGGTGATGATCAAATGAGTTAATGTGTGGTTGGGGTTCTCTTATCTGACCTGAGGATATAATAAAAAATAAATAGGTATAGATGAAGCAGTTTTATTCAGATTTAAAGTATGCTAACATGCATTCAGGAGCCCTGGTGACATAGTGGTTGAGATTTCAGCTGCCAGCCAAAAGGTCGGCAGTTCGAATCCACCAGCCACTCCTTGGAAACCCTGTGGGGCAGTTCTGTTCTGTCCTATAGGGTTGCTATGAGTTGGAATCGACTTGATGGCAATGGTTTGGTTTTTGGTTTAATGTGCGTTCAGAGGCCTGGTAGTGCAGTGGTTAAGAGCTACAGCTGCTAACCAAAAGGTTGGCAGTTTGAATCCATCAGCCGCCCCTTGGAAGCCCTATGGGACAGTTCTACTCTGTCCTATATGGTTGCTATGACTCGACGGCAATGGGTTTGTTTGTTTTAATATGCATTCTTTTGCCATTTTTTGGTGTCAGCTCAAGGACCGTTCGTTTGAGCGTGGATCTGCTGGTTAGAGGACTCCCTTGCCTATTTTACATAAATAAATCGCACCTTTATTTCATTGTTTGTGATTCCGGTTTTGGTTTCTTTAAAGGAAAGCAAGAAGTTAAAGATACTTGCAAAGCCTTACTTAGTATAGAATCCTCCTAGATTTCACTTCCTTAGTATTTTACAATTAATTTATTCTCCTCGGATTCAACAACATTTTTTAGAAATCAGCTTTTATCAAGTCTTTCCAAAGTATTTAACTTAGTTTCCCAAGAAATTTTCTCTCTATTTTTATGTTCATTTAATTAAAGTAGTAGGTTATTCATATCATGCAATTACAGCAATAAGTACAACCAGCATAAGCAGGGCCGGGGGCAGACAGTGGCGTCGTGGCAAGCATATAGCCCGGCCAGTGGTTGCTGAGCGGGCAGGCCGACTGGAGAGGAGCCCTGGTCTTAAGTGCTCTGTCTTCCCTCGGCACCAGTCATTTGTTTTTATAGGGAACCCAGAAGGTGATCTCACCTGGCCTGTCAGACGAGTGGTGTTCAACTGTATGTGAAGTTGCTTTCTCCACTCTGAAGAGCTATACAAATTGGTTGTTAGTTGCTGTTGAGTTGACTTAGACTCATGGTGACCTCGTGTACCACAGAACAAAATGTTGCCTGTCGCCGCACCATCTTCAGGATCGTTGGTGTTCTCGAGTCCATTGTGGCCACCGTGTATGTTGAGTACCTAGGGGACTCATCTTCCAGCATTATATGGGACAGTGTTCTGCTGTGATCCATAGGGTTTTCTTTGGCTAATTTTCAGAAGCAGATCACCACGCCTTTCTTCCTAGTAGGTCTCAGTCTGGAAGCTCCGCTGAAACCCGTCCACCATGGGTGACCTGCTGGTATTTGAAATACTGGTGGCATAGCTTCCAGCATCACAGCAAAACGCAAGCCACCCAGTATAACAAACTGATAGATGGGTGGTGGATACACATGTAAGGTGCTGATATTGACCATTCAGCCAACATTTATAAAACGCTTCCCCTGTGCCAGGCACAATGCTGGCTCTGGGGGCCAAGGATGACCGGAAGCACAGCCCTTCCCCCAGGAGCTCACTGAGTCGCCATGCCAACAGGTCACCCTGACTCTCTCTGCTGTGGACCTTACTTTTCTAGAACCCAATCATCAGCCAGTTCTTCCCAACCTTTCTCCTGTGGTTCTTCTCCACCCTGCTCCCGACCATCGTCTACTACTCCACGCTGCTGGAGTCTCACTGGACCAAGTGAGTGTCGGGGGGAGCCTGTGGGCCCCTCTCCTGAGAAGGCAGTCTCTGAGGGCACTGGGAGCACAGCAGGGCCTTGCTGTGAATGCTCACCTCTGACTTCCTACAGGTCAGGGGAAAACCAGATCATGATGACCAAGGTCTACATTTTCTTGATCTTCATGGTGCTGATCCTGCCCTCCCTCGGCCTCACCAGGTACCCATCACCACTTCTAGCTCTGAATTCTGTGTCAGAGCCACATCTGGAGAGCATTGTCCCCAGGAGGGTGGAAATGGTTTTGGAGACAATACACACCCCTACAACATTTCGGCCTGGCACACCCACTTGGAGTGCAGTTGTGCTGGTCCTTTGATTCTTCTAGAAATATGATCTTTCTTCCTTTAAAAAAAAAGCTTGAAAACAAAACTGATCAAGGACCTTCCTTTTAGGGAGGAGCCCTGGTGGCACAGTGGTTAAAGTGCTTGGCTGCTAACCAGAAGGTTGGCGGTTTGAACCTATAAGCCACTCCGCGAGAGAAAGATGTGGCAGTCTGCTTCCGTAAAGATTTACAGCCTTGGCAACCTTACGTGGCAGTTCTACTCTGTCCTACAGCGTCTCTCTGAATAGGAATCAACTTGACAGCAACAGGTTTGGTTTGGTTTTTGGTAATCAGGGCCTTGTTTATCTCAAGGAAGGACGTTTTGGTTAAAGCAGGCCCCTGTAAGTCACATTATGGTAAGTGGCATCGTCACTGAGAACAAATGCAGGTCTTGAGATTTGGCCTGTTTCTAGAGCAGAAAAAAGTGGAAAAGGAAACAAAAACAGAACCATGTGTAGTGATCATATGGAATGTTGGAAATGAACTCTTACAAATTCATTTGTCTTTCAGTCTGGATCTTTTCTTCCGGTGGCTCTTTGACAAAACTTTCTCGGAGGCTTCTGTCAGGTTGGAGTAAGTATCTGTCACGTTGAGTTTTGCAGCCGGGACCTCGGGTAAATGTCCCACAGGGACTGGGGCTGGGGCCGCAGGGGGCCGGGGGGAGTCTATGCTTCAGAACCTGCATCTTCCTCCCACAGACAGGGCTGGCGCTGTCACTACCACGCCTACCCATTCCTGGCTGGGCTGGGGCCCCACAGAGCCTCTGGGCTGCACTGTGGGAGCTGTCCGACTTTGTGCTACACGTGCAGAAATGTGGTTAATTTTTTAGGCTAAAATTCAATTAGTGGTGATCTTATTCACTCTTTGAAACTTAATGAGAACAGAGCTGCTTGGGGAAAAGGAACTGCTGGGTCTCAGTGGTGCCAGGGAGGAGGAGAGTCATCACACTGAGACTAGAGTGACTTTCTGGTCTGGGGAGTATTTTTGCCAGGAAAATGGAGTTAAACATATTGCGGATGTGGGTCCCAGATAGTGTTTTAGGCTTATACCACACCCACTAAAAGGAGCCCTGGTGGCACGGTGGTTCAGTGCTGGGCTGCTAACCAAAAGGTTGGCGGTTCGAACCCACCAGCTGCTCTGTGGGAGAAAGATGCAACAGTCTCCTTCTGTAAAGATTTGTTGTTAGGTGCTGTCAAATCGGTTCTGTTTCATAGCAACCCCATGTACAACAGAACGAAATGCTGCCTGGTCCTGTGCCATCCTCACAATTGTTGCTATGTTTGGGCGCGTTGTTGCAGCCACTGTATCAATCCATCTCATGGAGGGTCTTCCTCTTTTTCGCTGAGCCTCTACTTAACCAAACATGATGTCCTTCTCCAGGAACGGGTCCCTCCTGATAACATGTCCAAAGTAGTGAGACAAAGTCTCGCCATCCTCCCTTGTAAGGAACATTCTAGCTATACGTTTTCCAAGGCAGATTTGTGTTTTTCTTCTGGCAAGTCCATGGTATATTCAATATTCTTCACCAACACCATAATTCAAATGCACCAATTCTTTGGACTTCCTTATTCATTATCCAGCTTTTGCATGCATCTGAGGCAATTGAAAATACCATGCTTGGGTCAGGCACACCTTAGTTCTCAGAGTGGCATCTTTGTTTTTTAACACTTTAAAGAGGTCTTTTGCAGCAGATTTGCCCAGTGCAATACGTTGTTTGATTTCTCGACTGCTGCTTCCATGGGTGTTGATTGTGGATTCAAGTGAAATGAAATCCTTGACAACTTCAATTCTTAACAACTTCGGCTGTAGAGATTACAGGCTTGGAAACCCTGTGGGGCAGTTTTACTCTGTCCTATAGGGTCATTATGAGTGGAATCGACTCAATGGCAATGGGTTGGTTTTTTTGGACCACACCCACTTAATAGTAATAGCTATTATTTAACAAGGCGCGTGCTAAGTACTTTAAATGTCTTTTTCTCATTTAACCTTTACAACAAGCTATGAGGTAGTTACTATTACTGTCTCCATTTTACAGATGAGGAGACTGAGGCCCAGAGATGTTGACTAACTTGCTCAAGGTTACCCAGCTAGTCAAGGGCCAGTGCTGGGATTCAGTCCAGCCCTTACTGCACTATACTTGAGGTCCTAATATAGGTCCTTCGGCTCAGAGTTGACTCTTCAAGGATTGTTTATGGGGAAGGCTGCTCGTGAACCATGCTTACTTGTAAGGATGGAATGAATAACTCAAAACAGGTTCTTGCTGGGTAAGATAATGACCTGGGAGCTGGAAGCCACAGACAGACACACATACCCCAACAAGCTCTTGTCTGTGTTGACAATGACTTCCAAATGGCCACATCCAATGGTCAAGTCTCAGTCCTCATCTTCTGTGATCTGTCAGCAATATCTGACAAGTTGAACTGTGCCTTCCTTCCTTAAATGCTATCTTCACGTGGCTTCTGTGAGCTGCTCTCTTGGTTCTCCCACCCACTGCTTCTCCTTCTCAGCCTTGTTTCTCGTCTCCCTAGCTCTGAATGTTGGCTGCTGAGGGCTCAGGCCTCAGTCCTGTGTCCACCTCCCTCTCTAGGTGACCTTGGCTGATCTCATAGCTTTAATACCACCTGACTACTCCTGAATTAAAATACGCTGACAGCTTCCACAGTTATAACTCCAGCCTGCATCTCCAGACTCCCGTATCCTGCCCACAACTCTTATCTGGAGTTCTCATGGGCATCTCAGACTTAACCTGCCCAAAACCACGCTCCTAACTTTTATCACCAAATCTGCTGTTTCCACAACTTACCCTGGCCATAACTCTGTTCTTTAAGTTTCTCTGGCAAAAAACAAAAAAGAGAGAGAGAGATTTTGGGGTTATTCTTGTTCTACCCTTTTGCCTTTATACGCCACACCGAATCCATCAGCAAATCTTGACAGCTCTAAGATACCCAGAATCCTACCGTTTGTCCCCCCTCCACCATGACTGCCCTCACAGGGATGACAGCAGTAGCCATCTGCATGGTCTCCTGCTCTACCTCCCTGATAGAGCCCTCACCACGGTCAGAGCTGCTTCTGCTCAGAGCCCTGCCACTTTCCCATCTCACCAGGCCCGCCATGGGCCAGGCCTCTGCGCCTTTCAGCTGTATTGGTGTTCTAGGGCTTCCCCAAAGAAGTACCTCAAATGGGGTGCCTGAAAACAACAGAAATTTATCATCTCACAATCCCGGAAGCCAGGAGTCCAAAATCAAGGTGTCCGCAGAGCCTCCTCTCTCTGAAGGTTCTAGGGGAAGACCCTTCCTTGGCTCTTTCTAGTTTCTGGTGTTTGGCAGCAATCCTTCGCGTTCCTTGGCTTATAGATGCCTCACTGCAGCCTCTGCCTCTAGTCTTCACGCGGTCATCTTCTGCATGTGTCTCTCTGTGTCTTCTCGTCTTTGTATAAGGACACCACTTATATTGGATTAGGACCCACCCTACTCCAGTATGCCCTTCATCTTAATTTAACTGATAACATTTTCAAAGGCTCCATTTCCAAACAAGGTCACATTCACGGGTGCTGGGGGTTAGAACTCAAACATGTCTTTTGGAGGGACGCAGTTCAACCCATAACAGTCTTACCTCTGTCCCTGGTCTACTCCTCTGTGGCTGTACCTGCTCCTTTATGTTCCCTGGGTCTGTCCGGTACTCCCCACTCAGAGCCCTTGCTCTGTTGCTCCCTCTGCTTGCAGTGTCTTCCCCCCCACCCCCCAGATTCCGAGATGACTGGTTCCTTGGGTGCCTTCAGCTCCTTCGTGTCTGCAGGAGGCTTCTCTGACCACCCTGCATAAAATAGCAAACTTCTTCCCCACTGCATGCACTCCACCCCCCAGCCTTATCTTTCTCTAGAGCACCTATCCCCATCGAGCATACTGTATGTTGACCTGTTCGTTTGTCTCCTTTGCCACTGTGGGTACACTGATAGAAAAGTTGCAGGGTCACGGGCTTTGTTTTACTCCCAGTGCCTGGCACACAGATGTGCCTTCACATACTCACTGCCTGAAGGAATGAGTATAAAGCCACGCCAGGGCTTCCCTGCTGCTGCCCAGCAAGGGGCCCCCATTTTCTCCTTGGTGGGAAGGAGGAGGTTGTTGCTGGTGAAAGCTGCCCAGGCCTTGTGGCTCCTGGCTCGCAGGCCTCCTGGCTCTCGGCTCACGGGCCCCTGGTTTTCCCCAGGTGTGTCTTCCTGCCCGACCAGGGCGCCTTCTTTGTGAACTACGTCATCGCCTCGGCCTTCATCGGCAATGGCATGGAGATGCTGCGGCTGCCGGGCCTCATCCTCTACACCTTCCGCATGATCATGGCCAAGACGGCCGCTGACCGAAGGAACGTCAAGCAGGTGCCATGCTGGGGTGGAGGGGGCGGGGACCACCACCAGCTGCAGGCTGTGCTTGGTGACTCACCACCGGAAGCACTCATGATCTGGTCAGCGCACCTCTTCAAGCCACGACTGACAGGCTGGTCACATGCACGCATACAAGCAAAATCACCAAATTCCTTTCCCATGGGTGTCAATTTGCATAACTTCTTGGGATTACTTCAGATGTCAAAGGCATTTTGGGCTTGTGACATTTGCTCCAAGGTACCCTAAATTGGATGGGAGGGGGTTTTCTTTTATTCTCCTTTGCGATTGTGAATACTGTAATAGGAAGGTTGCATTCTTTTATTTAACCCTTAAAACACCTATATGAGACGGGAACTACTAGTATTCCTGCTTCACAGATGAGCAAACTAAGCCCCAGAGAGGCTAAGTGTTTTGCCCAGGGCACACAGCTGGAAGTGGCAGAGCTGACCTTGGGTCTGCCACCAGAGTCTATGGGGAGTCATTCTACAGCCTACCCTCAGATAGTCCGTCTCCTCAAGGAGCTCACAGTCCTTTGGGGCAGACATGATTACAACAAGGGAAATGCTAAGGAAACATGCACTCCCCGTACAATTCTGGGCAAAGCCGGCGAAGGCTTTGTGGAGGGATAGAAAGGAACCGAACAGGTAGGGGTGGCTGTGGGTCTCCCATTTCCCAAATCCTCGTCCACCCCGCTCTCCCCTTGCCACCTAGAGTGCAGTGAGGTGTGTTTGGGGGCGGGGGACAAGCTTCTGAGCTCTTCCCACTACCTCCTCCCAGAACCAGGCCTTCGAGTATGAGTTTGGTGCCATGTACGCGTGGATGCTGTGTGTCTTCACTGTCATTGTGGCCTATAGCATCACCTGCCCCATCATCGCGCCGTTTGGTGAGCGATCCCCTCTGGAAGGGGAGGCTGCACGGTGCGGGGTGGTGCACCAGCCAGCGTCCCCTGGGAGCTGGGCCTGGGGTTGTGGGGTGGCTGACTTCCTAAGCGTCCTAGGGACAACCATCACTAGGACATTATGGAAACCCAGAAGTGGTGGATCTCTTGGAGCCACTTGGGCAAGCTGCCAAAGAACCACATGTGACACCAAATTTCATTTCATTTCCAAATGAGCTCCTTACACTGGCCTTCCAAATGATGCCCTCTCTCTGTATTTCTCCTGGGCCGAGGTTCTTCTTTGCTAGAGGATCACTTCATTCTTGGTTTTTAACCCTTTGATTTTAGCAACAACTAAGATCAGCCCTGGTGCTAATGGTCGCAGCTATCACGTCTGAGCTCAATCTGGCCACTCACTGTTGCACTCCAAGCAGGCTGTCATGTTTAAGCCTCAGAATCCTACAAGGCAGGTCTTGTTTCTACCCCCTTTCATGGATGAAGAATTGAGGGACACATGGTTAGTGAGAGATAGAGCCAGGATTTGAGCTCAGGGCTGTTTGACTTTAAAGGTCAAGGGCTTGATCACTACTCTAAAATAGAACATCAGCAACTGGCAGATGAATGAAAGACTGTGGGAGGAAACAGAACACCCAAAAAGCTGTTGGTAGTGATAGCTGAGGATTAGGGGTAGGAGGAAGTTTTATTTTTCCCTATGTACTCTCTGTGGGAGTCCCTGGGTGGTGTAAACAGTTAATGTGCTGGGCTGCCAACTGAAAGATTGGAGGTTTGAGTCCACCCAGAGGTGCCGGAGAAAAAAGGCCCAATGATCTACTTCCAAAAGATGACAACCATTGAAAAGCCTATGGAGTGCAGTTCTACTCTGACGTGCGTGGAGTTGCCGTGAATCTGAGTAGAGTTTATGAAAACTGCTCTGATTCTTTTTTTTTTCCCCTAACATTTTACTGTTGTTTAACTGAAAGTTTAGAGAGCGTATTAGTTTCCCATTCAATTTATACACAGCTCATTTCATGACATTGGCTGCAAACCCCTTCCTCCTTGGGTTCCCTGTGTCCATTCACCCAGCTTTCCGGCCCCTACCATCCTTCTGAACTTTGCTTTTGAGCAGATGATGCCCTTTAGGTCTCGTATAATTGATTGTTCCGAGGTATACATTCCTCACTGGTGTTATTGTTCATTTTATAGGTCTGTCTATTATATGATTGTAATGTGATCTCTGGGAGTGATTTCACTTCCAAGTTTGAAGCATGTCTAAGGGCCACCAGTCTCTAATAGACCAGTAAGACTGGTATTATTTATGAGTTTGAATTTTGCTCTACATTTCTCTCCAGCTCTGTCCGTGACTTACTAATGTGGTCCCCGGTCAGAGCAGTAGGTAGTGGTAGCTGGGCACCATCTAATTCTTCTGGTCTCAGGCTAATGAAGGCTATGGTTTGCTTCTGATTCTTACTCTGTTATACTATTTTAAAAATCTACAGTCTTACTTTTTTTAAAAAAGAACTTGGCATAGTAGAAAAGGAAGCCCCCACCTTCAGTGCCACCCGTGGGAGAAGACCTTGAGCATCCGTTGACTGTGATGAGGGCAGGAGGTCAGCCTGGGTGGGAGAAGGAGAGGAGGGAGTGGGAGGGTTGGGGGGTGGAACGCAGTGTGGAAGGGGACCAGGAAACTGAGCTCTTTCCTCAAAATGATCCTAGGATTTCAGTGTTCCATAGGGACAGAATCACAGATGCCTCTACTCCCTTGGGGACAGAAAGAGGCCAGGAAGGGGTAAAAGAGAGAAGGAGATATAGAGAGAACAGACTAGCATCCAGATTATTCATTCTGCCCAACTTGGGGTTCATGCAGTAGGCTTTCCCCTCCACCTGGCCCCCAGCTCCATGCACAAGTAGCCACGCACCAGAGGACGGGGGCAGAGCAGCCCTGGTGGCCCAGCTGAGGCCTCCAGCTCACAGCCCACCTCCGCAGGCCTCATCTACATCCTGCTCAAGCACATGGTGGACCGGCACAACCTCTACTTCGCCTACCTCCCGACCAAGCTGGAGAAGAAGATCCACTTCACTGCCGTGAACCAGGCCTTGGCAGCTCCCATCCTGTGCCTTTTCTGGCTCTTCTTCTTCTCCTTCCTGCGCCTGGGTGAGGGGCCCAGCCCTTGGCCTCACATTCCCACATCCACACCAGCCAATCAGATCCCTCACTGCTTTAGGAGCATCAACTTGGTGTCCAGTCAGAATGTGGTACCTGGTGGGGGTGCTGGTTGGGTGGGGCAGTGGACAGACCAGCTCCCAAGCTAGCCGGAGTTCAAGTGTAAGCCTTGTGAAGGCCTGGCCAATTGCCCGAGACACCCTTAGAGAGAAAACAGCCTCTTTACCACCCTTGGAGGGGCTGAACCAGAGGAGATGGGCCGCTGATCCAAATTCCTCTTTGGGGATGGTGGGTGGGCCCAGGTCCTCACATCTTACAGAGTGGAGGAGAATGGGACGTGATGGAGGGAACTGACATTCTTTTGGAAAAAAAGAAAAAAGTAGAGGAAATGGGTGACTCTGTTCCAATCAGGTTGGGGGAAGATTTCATCCTACCTAGTCCAGGCCACTGGGGACTAGAGGAACTGACCCAGCAAGGAAACTGGCAAGTTGTCATTGACTTGGTGTCCTGGCCCTGGTGATCTACTTCCCCAAAAATCAGCCATTGAAAACACTATGAAGCATAGTTCTACTCTGAAACACACAGGGTTGCCAGGAGTCAGAATTGACTCAATGGCAACTGGTTTTGTTTTTGGTGTCCCAGTTCCTGCTGGGAGCCTGGGCAAAGGTTGTGAAATCTGACCAGCTGTTCAGGGGGTCATTCTGTGCAGTCTAGCTGTGAAGGCAGCATCCCAGCTGCTGGAGTGAGGGAATATAGGTTGTAGGCCTTCCCTACACTTCCTTCCTGAGAGAGAAGTCATCCTCTGAGAGAAGACGGCACCAGTTGTGGCGTCCTTTCCTCGGCAGGGTGAGGGTGAGTGGCAGCCCACCCCCAACAAGGCTGCCATTCCTCTCTGTCCCCAGGCCTGAAGGCCCCCACCACCCTGTTCACCTTACTGGTGCTGCTGCTCACCATCCTGGTCTGCCTGGCCTACACCTGCTTTGGATGCTTCAAGCACCTCAGCCCTCTGAACTACAAGGTAAGGCGCCCCCCACCCACTGCTGCCCAACCCGGACCCAGAGGAGGAGGAGATGGGGGGTTCACTGTAGCCCTCCTCCCCGCTTCACATACCAACAGTCTTCTCTAGATTTTATTTACCCGTGGGTAGCTGGGTGTGATGTGTAGTTTCCTCCCCCCAGTTCCCTACTCCCTGCACCCCCCTCTCTCTCTCTCGGGCTGCTGCTGAGAGCTTGGTGCCAGCTGGTACTATTATTCTGGGTGTTAATCGTCTGTTTGTTTGGAGGGTGTTGGTTTTGTTTATTGTTACAATGTTCGGCTGTTATCTGCAGACAGAAGAATCGGCAAGTGACAAAGGAAGTGAAGCTGAGGCCCCCGCACCCCCACCCTTCACAGTAAGCGATGGTTCTCACCTAAGCGTTCGTTTTCCTTTCTTGTTCTGGTTTTAACGGTCCTAAGCAGATAGGCCCCGGAAAACATGTTTTGATGGTCTCGTGTTGAGATAGAAGCCCCTTGATGACGTGGCAGGTGGGTTTCTGAGTTATGTCAGCTGAGACGGCATCCCTCGTCCCTCTGGATGGGGGCCCTGCGTATGTGAAGCCACACCAGCCACTGGGGCGGTAACTTGCCACGAGGCACACCCTCCTCCAGAGGTTTCAGTTCCTCCTCCCTTTCCTTTGCTGCATATTTACTGCACGGGGAGTCTTTGGCTTCAGTGGAGCGACACTGTAAGGCCCTATGGTTTGATGCAGCTTTATCGCAGCTGTTCATCAGCACCTGCCTGGGTGAGGTCAAACAAGCTCCCCTTTTAATTCAAATGATTAATACCGGCTTAAAAGGAAGGCACCATGTTAGAAAGACACCAGGACTCCTGTCCTTCTGGACTTCCCTGCTTCCAGCCCCAGGGTCCTGCTCCTAGGGTGGGGCCGGGCAAGGAAAACGAGCTGCCTGCCACCTGGGCCAGCGGGAACAGCAGGTGTGCTTTCTAGGTGTCAGGCCCTCTTGTCAGTGTCTGTCCTTGGATGAGCCCCAGAGGAGAAGGTCCTCAGAAAGATTCCTTGCTGAGACACGCACCTGTGGCTGTGCCAGCCAGGCAGGGGAGAAGGCAGGACAGGTGGCTGATGCAATCCCTCCCTTCTCAGCCCAGGTCTGGGGAGTAGTGGAGCAGGGCTCTGGGCCTGGGATGGGAGGAACTGGAACTTACACAGGTTTGTTCAGCGTCTGAGAAGTTCAGTTGGAAGCACTCTAAGCCTGCCCTCTGTCAGTCGAGACTTGTGTCCCACATACAGTGAGAAATTCCCTTAGAATCCAGTGCTGAGAAATAGGTGTGCTTCTTTCTTTATGATAATGAGAACTGGGGAATGACTGTGGTTTGCGTTTTGCTCTGGCTGCTAGGAAGTTCTGCAGCTGGCATATCTTGGGTCCTGACTTTCTAAGTCTCTGCTGTGATTTCATTGTGTGTGTCTTTTACGAGCAGTGGGAAAGCTGTGCTGGGAGGAGGAGGGTGGCTGACACGTGTGGGTGGCAGGAAGGAACAGGTACGGAGTCTCACGCCTGCCCCACCCAAGCACTAACTCCGCCATTTGCTGGCAGCCGTATGTGCCCCGGATTCTGAACAGCTTGGCCTCGGAGAGGACAGCTCTGTCCCCACAGCAGCAGCAGACGTACGGCACCGTTCACAACATCAGTGGGGCTCTCCCGGGGCAGTGGTTGGCCCAGAACCCTGCAGACAGCGTGGCCGCCGCCTTCCAGGAGGCCTGAAGGCGAGCTGCCCGGCTGGGCCAGACTCGGAGAGCCAGGTGCTGAGGAGACACAGGAGCAGGAGCATTGGACTCCAACCCCAACCAAGTTCAGGACTTCTCTCCACTGTCTCAGGCTCCACTGCTCTGAAAAGTGGACCCAGGAAGGCCAGGGGGCTCAGGCTCTTGGCCAGGTGGGATGGGTTGGGACGCCAGCTAAGGGCCAGCGGGCGGCCTTTTCTGTAACAGTGGTGGTGAGGGGTGCACTCCCAGCTCCATACCTTACCTGCTCCCCTGAGGCCTGCTCGTTTCCCGGGTCCTCCCCTTTGCACAAGCTTCCAGCTCCTAGCTGGAATGATGTCCCCGGTGATTTTTAGCCAAGACCATGTGTTGAAATTTTGCCCCCAGAACCATTAGCCCTGGTGATTCTAGAAGATAATAGAAGGTAAAAGTGGAAGACCTTCTCCCTTCTGAATACCCAAACACTCCCCACCCTCTACACACACACACCCATGCGCGCACACAGACACACCTGATAACCAACGAGCCTGTAGGTCCTGGGTCTGAGATGGGGTGCAGATGGGAGCCCAGGTTCAGTCCAGCTTCCCCCTCTTTGTATTAAGTTGTTCATCCATCCCCCCATCCCCAGCACCTGTGGTCCCTGAAGCTGCCCCCAGGAGTCAGCTGTGGGGAGCAAGAAGGAAATGGACGGTGCTGGCTGCAGCAGGCTGAGCCAGCTGTGCACACACTCTGCATCCGGCAATTTCCTCCTTGTGTCTGGGTTTTTGTACCATGTTGCCAATGATGCTATGGCTGGGTCAGGGTCACCCACAGCAGGCAGGGACCATGAGAATCACTAATAAAGTGTCCATTTGGGCAGACTGCTGAGACCTAGCCTCTCCTGCCTGTTTAGGGCCGAGGGTGTGGAGCTCAGCCTCCACTCAGTCCTCAATCCTGTCTGTGCCCTTCAAGGGGGGTGGGGCAGTGCTCAGGGGAGAACAGCCTGGACGGGCAGGGAGTGGGATTCCGGCCCAGACCAGAGGAAAGGAGGAGGAGAGTGTGTCTGGGCCGGGTGCAGGGCTGTGCACCGCTCTTAAGCTGTGACGCCGGCAGGAAGGAGCTGCAGCCTTTGCCTTTTCTCCTGTGGGATCTTGGGGCTGGGACGCAACTGTGGACTCGTTGAGCTTCCTCCCTTCTGCCTCCAGGTGGCGCCAGAGGCCCAAGTCGGCGTGTTGGTGGGCGGGGCCCTGGCGGCCCCTCAGCAAGCCTGCCTTGGGCTTGTCGGCAGCCGGCCTGGCTGAGCCGGGTTTTTGGAGGCGAGGCCTAAAGTGGGGTTCCCTTCTCACAGCTGCGCCCCTCTGAACTCTCCCTGCTGACCTGCCCTCGGCGCTCACTCGGACTCGCCGCTTCTGCCCCGAATTGCGCAGCGCACTGGGACGGGGTGCAGGCGTGGTGCGTCCTTTGGGGTGGCCCAGCCTCTGGCATAAGGGGTGTTGCGCAGCGTGGCCTCCGCTAGCCACCTGGCCCCAGCAGGCCGCTCCTTCCCTCCCCAGGAAGAGGGGCAGCAGAGGACCCAGGTGGGATTCCCTCCCCGGCGCAGGCTGCAGACCTGCCAGTCCCGCGCTGGAAGCAGAACCAGCCGTTGCGTCAGGGACACGCATGTCACTTAGACGTAAAATCATTTATTATCAAAGCCGCGTTTCCTACCACGTGGGAGACAGCTTGGGGGTGAGCATGGGGTCCCAGCATGGGCAGGGAAGGACATAAATTCATTCCTCAGGAAAGGGGCATCTTTGCCAAGAACAGGAGGCCCCCTCCTCCCTGCCAGCCCCACTCCCCCGGGTGGGTGCAGGGAGGACAGGCGCTTCTCCGAGGGGAGCTGACGGTCGGAGGATGTGGGCTTCTGTCAGAAAGGGTGGGATGGCAGCGAGGGATGGGGGCTGCCTCGGAGGCATTGGTCAGTCCCCGCGGGCGTCACTGCTTTTCCACCTGCCCCACGAACTTGCGGATGTCCTGGGCGAGCAGCTCTGGCTCCTCAAAGGCAGCGAAGTGGCCCCCGCGGGGCATGTAGGAATAGCTGAGCAGTTTCGGGTACTTGAACCTCACCAGCTTTTCCGGTAAGTGGATCAACTCGCTAGGGAAGGCGGCAAAGCCCGTGGGCACCTGGACCTTTATCCTAGGGCAGGAGAGGGGCGGGGCAGAGAGCTTGCTGAGGGCGAGGCTGGCCCCGCCCCTCTCTTGCCCAGAGCAGGGGGTCCAGGAGCTTTGGGGAGGGGGTCAGCTCACCCACCCACCCAGGCCTTCAGGGCCAAAAAGAAAAGGATAGATCCAGGGCTTTAAGCGCCTCTCCCAGGCCACTCCCTCAACCCCAGCCCACTAAGGGCCCTCTCTCTTCTGGGAGGAGGGACTGAGAACAAGCTGGGAGTAAGGGTAGGGCAGCTTCCAACTCCCCACCTTTGCTCCCCCTTCCCTTTACTGTCGCCCTGAAGGTCTCCCTGTGAGATCTGGAAACCAGTTGGCCCCAGCAGGGTGCTGGGGACATCCCAGAACCGTCAGTGCCACATCAGGGCAGCATCCTGGCCCCAGGGGAGCCCTAGGGACATCTAGGGATCAGGCACCACCTGCTCCAGGAGCCAGTTGGAAAGGCATAGGGATTTCTACAAGCCCCCTGACCTCTTTCAATAGTGTTCTCATCCGAGGCACCTTGTGCACCCCGAGGGTGGCAGCTGGGCCAGGCTGTGCTTTTCCCACCACCAATGCCCCTCCTTCAGGTCAAGACTGGTGCTCCCCTGCTCCCTGCCTCAGAGGCCCCCGCTCCAGGCTCCAACCAGGCTCACCTCTCATGCATCTCAGCGGTCAAGCCCTGCCCCAAGTTCTCCTTGTAGAAGCGCTGGGAGGAGACGATGGTCTCCGTGGTCCAGTAGAGCATGACGTTGGTCAGCAGGTCATCCAGGGAGAACTTCCTGGGAAGCAGCACAGGAAGCCTCACTCAGCAACAGCCATACAGACGGAAGCTGCCACTTCCCAGCTCCCGCATCGGCCAGGCACTGTGCTCATGTGGTTTTACCCTCATGACAACGCTGTAACACTGGTGCTGTCATCCCCATTCCACAGAGGCTCAGAACCTGCTCTCGGTCACCAGCTACTAATGTGACGGTGACAGGTAATGCAGAGTGCTGACCGCGTACGAGGCGGGCACTGTTCTAAGCGCTTTATGTGGACGAATTCATTTGTTCCTCTCAGCAATCTATGGGACGTGGGTACTACTATTACCTCCATTTTGCTGATAAGCAGAGAATCCAGATTCAAATCTAGGCACTTTGGGTTCAGGACTCATGTTCCTAACTCTGGTTGCTTAGCCATGTCACCCCTCCCTACCCCCATGATTCCCCTCATAGTCCCTCTACAGAGGCCTAGTTCCAGACTTCTCCAGGGCACTGAATCTCCCACTCCCCAGAATCCTATGTGATTTTCAGCACTTATTGGAGGTTGCCTGGATGACCTCCTGGGAGCAGGAATGAGGGAGGCCTGGCTTCTGTCTTCCTCAGAACCCAGCATTGCTGGAGGCCATGAATGGAAAGGGCCAGAAGTCTAGGGACCCACATCTGGTCTCAGCCATGTCACTAAGAAGCACTGGGACTTTGTCGATTGTTTACCCTGTCTGTGCCCTAGTTTCTCTTCTTGTAAAAACAGGATTAATAATATTTGGAAAGCATGTGAAAATTTCCAAAGAAAAAGCACTATACAAAATTCCGGTCCATTAGTAACAGCCTGTTCAGCCAGAAAGCTGGCATTCCCAAATCTACCTGTCAAAAGGGTACTATTCACCTGCTAGGAGAGCACCTTTTCAGCACTTCCTGTGTGCCAGGTGCTAACATAGGTACTGCGGATCCAAAGGTAAGTCAGGCTGGGTGCCTGCCTGGAGGAGCACGTGGCCCAGCAGGGAGACCAAGCGTAAGCCACTGGTTGTACTGGCAGAGGCGGGGGTGGGTGCGCACAAGGACACATTCTGCCTGGACAGAGGCAGAAGTCAAGGAAGGCTTCTTAGAGGAGGTGACCTGTACACTGGCTCTTTAAAGGGAAGTAAATTGGGCAGAAGGGTGTCAGAAACATTAGCATGCAAAAGGCACAAAGGCTGAGCGTAGAGGGCAGCTTCATGGACTGGAGCACTGAGTGTCTGGCCTGGCTAACTCGCAGGAAGTGGAGAGGGCGAGGCTAGGGAAAGGGGGTCGGGTCTCAGCAGAGCATCTGGAACACCATGTTAACTCTGCTGGTTGGCTCATGACTGAGAGCAAGCTGTGCGTTCCAGGGAAAGCGATAAGATGGCTATCCAGAATTTTTAGTTCCTCCTGGGTGTACTTGCTGCCCTTGGGCCCAGACCCCATGCTAGATCCATAATGTCCTGGTCATGCCCCCTCATGTCACTGCTGCCTGAATGAGAAGAGCATTTGCTGCCTTCCCCCTCCACACACACACACACACACCTCACCTCACTCCTCAGCTCTCGGGCAATTACTCTAGTCCATTGATCAGAAGCCAATTCACTGAAAACGGCCAATTTGCTGAATTTACTTGTTTGCTTCAGCTGTTTAGATGCAGCTGATCAATCCCATTTTATCCTCAGAACCACATTTTAAAGAATGCTCAATGCACCTTTGCCCTGCTTTCAAAGAATGCAGCTGGAGGCAGGAGTAGAGAGAGGCGGGGCAGAGAGAAAGGGACTAATACGGAATCTGAAAATATGAAGAATTGTGAAAAGAGGCTTCCTGGGAATGAAGAAGATATTCATAAGACATCTTCACAGGCAGGAATATATTCTTCTTATGCCCTCAGTCCCTCTCCAAAGCCCTGGATGTCCAGCATAGCCACTCACAGCAAAGAGAAAGTGGATGCCTTTTAAACACAATTTTGATGACAGAATGAAAACCGGTCACTGAAAACTAAATAGTTACAACAAACATTTAAGTTCTGTGAACTGGCCTTCAGCGAGTTGGCCTGCTTCCATCTCCCTTGGCCTCTGACCACAGCTTAAAAACTACCACAATAACCGTCTTCCATCCTACTGCAGTGAGAGGGATCTTTCTAGAACGCAGACGTGATCATGTCTGTCCCCTGCTCATAGTTTTGGTTCTCCTTGTAGCCTCGCAGCTGTAGGAGGTGGCTCAGTGGGGTGGTCTGGGGGCGCCTCACATCTGGTGGCTGCTCCCCCTATTTGTGTGCAAGGAGCAGGGCCAGGCCCCTGCCTGGGTGGTCCTAATGGAGAGCCACTGACCCTTGAGTCCTGCCAGACATGGGGTGGGGAAACAGATCCCAGGGTGAGGGCTTGCGAGGCTCTTGGAAGACCTGTCTGTAAGAATGAGTTCATGGTCTGGCCCCAGTGTACCTGCTGCAGCCTCTATACAAGTCCAAGCACACCCTGCATTTTAATCGCTCCAGTCTTTGCTTCTGCTGTTCCCTTTGCCTATATTTCCTTCTCCCACCCTTCTCCACGTGGCAAACTCCTACTCATCCTTCAAGGCCCAAAGAGATTCTCCCAGTCACTTCCCCTCCCTGTCCCTTAGGCTAATCAAGTCCTCCTTCCTCTAGACTCCCATAGTCCTTTGCATGTGTCCGTATTCTAGAACTCATTCATTTAACAATTATTTACTGAGCACCTACTACATGTCCGGCACTGTTCTAGGTGCTTACAGCAGGGCCAAGACAGAGCCCCTGCCCCAAGGCAGGGATCCGTCTCCCTTCACTCTCTCTCCCCCACCCCAGTACCAAGTCTGGTGCTGTGTGAGTCACTGAAGGAATAAAGAAAGGCACGGGCCCGGGGAAGGTAGTTCAGAGGCAACCTTGATGAAGCCTGAGGTTGGCCAGGGACCTAGGAGTCCCTGCTCTGTGGAGGCTGCAGCCTTCTAAGACTCCAGGAGATGGGACAGCCCCCCAGGTCTTCCTGCCAGCCACACTCAGGATCAGCTTCCAGAGTCCCAGGGGCTCAGTGCTCTGGATCCCAAGATGTAGCTGTTCAGCCAACGGAGCATGGGCAATCACAAGTCCTATGTCCTATTCCTGACCACCCTGCTGTGAGACACTAGACCTCTCTGTGCCTCAGCTTCCTCATCCACAAGACAAGGCTAAGTCGGGGGTCAGCCGAAAATAGACCTTGCCAATCCATCCCCCAACCCCTCCCCGCCAGATAACGGAAGCAGAGGTGAGATGAAGAGGAGGGTAATATGTGAAGAAGGTGGCTGCTGGGTTGGGGGCCCGACGGCAGTGACAAGGAGGGTCTCACCTCTCCAGGCCTCCATCTTCCAGGTTTCGGAATTCCGAATTGGTCCAGGTGGAAAACTTCTCCAGAATATAGGCAGCCAGCCCCACGGGGGAGTCATTCAGAGCACAGCCTGGGTGGGAGGGATCAAGGGAGGGACTCAGGCCTGACAACCAGGGAGCCCATCAGGACTGAGGTATGGTGCTGGTCGCACATACTGGGCCATGGGCAGGAAGCCACGTTCACTCTGCCCTAACTCTTGGGGTACTCATGCACCTCACTTCCTTAACCCTCAGCCTTGGGACCCTCATCTGATACACAGGGATAACAACATCTCCCCACTACTTCATGGAGTCACATGCTGCACGGGCAGCTTCCTTCAGACTGAAGGGTTGATGACTGGGTTTCATGAGGCCCAAATTAGAAATATATATGAATGCTATTTTTTTTTAAAGTTTTGGTGGGTTTTTTTTTTTGGTCTGTACGCTATAATTAGTGAAAAATAAGAAACAACCTGAAGTCCAAAATAGGGTATCCGTTAAAAAGAAATACCAATACTGATTAGTGGTGCCAGAGGCAGGTGGGATGGAGGGGGAAAGGGGAGTCGCTGTTTAGAGGGGGACACTGAGCTTCTATTAAGGGTGATGGAAAGTTTTGGAAACAGATAATGATGATGGTTGAAAACATGCTGAACGTAATTAACATTAATGAATTATACATGTAAAAAATGTTAACATGGAAAATGTTACATATATATTTACAATAAATAAAATAAATATACCCATAAGCTAAAACAGTGTGCAGTCCTTGACAATGGCTAGGGCAACAACGCAGGTAAATCTCACAAACATAATATGAGGAAAAGCGGCCAGACTCAAAAGAATCCGTACTCTGATTCCGTTCATAGAAAGTATAAAAACAGACAAAAGCAATCTATCTGTCAGAAGCTGGGAGGATGGTTCCTCTTGACGGGACAGCATGCCTGGGAGACAGCACAAGGGGGTGGATTCTGGGATGTGGGGGTCATGTTCTCTTTCCTGATGTGACTGCTAGTTCCATGCATGTATTCCATTTGTGAAAATTCATCAACCAAAATGCTAGCAAGTTCTTTTGAAGACTGGGAGGGGGAGAGAGGGCTGGAAAGGGAGGGGAGTTATAGGTGATAAGACTTTTCAGATTTGTGGTTTTTCTCCATTTTTCAATTTTTTGATAATGAATATGATTACTTTTATAATCAGAGAAAAGACTGGTTTGATAAAGGATTATTATTATTATGGGCTGTCTCACATATGTGAGCATGGGACTATCGTGAAAATTGTAAAAAGTTTTGAAATGGGCAAAAGCGTTACTGGGAATCCTTGCAGTGGAATTCTGAGTTTTCTAGTGGACCCTTATGGAGCTTTCTGATTCTATTGGGGTCCCATCTTCCCTTGTCTTTGAGCTATTTTACAGCTCTGTAAATTACAGAAAACTGATAGTAATACAAAAGATTCTTGTTCATAGAGAAGCAAATGAATTTTGTCCTGTGGAGATGTAACTAAGTCTTACCCTGTGGATTTTGACCAGTTTTGAATCTGTTACCAAATTGACTTCAGTGTTCCTAATTGCCTTTGAACCATTTTTTTAATTTTTCTTTTTCTTTTTACTTTACAGGTTCCTTTATTAACTAATGAGCTAAATAAAATCTTTGAACGTGCTCATTTTATATTTGTATGAGTCATGGTTTTACCTTTTTTTTAAAAAAATCATGTTTTCACAGGACCCTCCTGGCAGAAATGGTTTCTGGGCCCTCCCTCACTGTCACAGGAACTTCCCCCCAAGGGCCCAGGGGCACCCTCTCCCTTTCCTTTACTGGGGTCCCACCCCCACAGCCCCAGAGCTGCCCAGGTCCCAGGCTTCATCCTCTCCTTACCCGCCACCCCCTGCCCCTCTCTAGTGTAGGACTCAGACTCAGAGGTGGGGGACCAGGGGTCAAAGCCACTATGAATATAGAATCAGATAAATGGAATTGTTTGGTCAGCCTGGGAATCTGATGACCATTATAAACTTTCCTCTGTAGAAAAATGCAGTTCAAGGGTCAAAAGAACTTAGAGTTCCCTACAAGAGGTTTTCTGTCATGTGAGCAGTGTTCTGGGGGATAGTGAGGTTGCCCCCAGTTGTGTGCCTTGTTGAATAGAGTGGACATAAGGCCATTTATGCCTGTGATGTGACCCCCCAGGGAAGAAGGCCCAGCTGCAGCTGCCTTGAGAGTGCTCACCCACAGTGTCCGGCTTGGTGGCCTGGATGTGCATATAGCCGCTCTCCCTCATCAAGCTGTAGAAGACCTTCTCCTTGAGGGGGTACAGCAGCTCCAGGTCCCTCTCGGTGTAGCCGAAAAGCCCCCCAAAACGCCGCCCCAGCAGAAGGGTCAGGGTGGAGAAATTTCTTAAAATCAAAGCCATGTTCAAGTGCAGGCCTTTCACGTGGCTGAGGGCAGAAAGAGGCGCACAGTGAGAAGAGAGAAGAGACGGAGGAGGAACAGACCACAGGCTGAGGTGCACAGCGCCAGCCGCCTTCATGTCCTGCCCCTCTGGGGTAGCCACAGAAGTTTGAAGAAGGGGATTTGGGAAAGATATAGAACTTCTAGAAAGTTCCAGTCAGGTCTCTCCCAGTGCTTGGCCCATCAGAAAGGCCCGGTTCCTGACCTTCCCTCGCCTCACTGGCCCTCTCTGCCTGGGTAACTGGCACAGAGTCACCAGGCAAGTGTTATACCACAAAGAGGGTGGCCTAGGCAGAGCTGAATGACGGGGGACCCTCCTATTGCTCCCCTGGGCCCACAGCATCCCGCCAGGGGCCATTGAGAGGGTCCCTGGCTCAGACACATTACCCAGTGGACAACACCGCACAGATGACCATCGCTCAGAGATGCGTGCGCACACACGCCCCGAAAATGACCCTCACCTGGGCACCATCTGGGCCATGTTGGTGCAGATTAGGGAGCCCCAGTCTCCACCTTGAATGTAGAACTCCTCAAAGTTCAGCCGCAGCATCAGCTTATAAAAGATCCTTGCGGTAGCCACTGAATTGAAGCCTGGTTGTGAGGGGGAAAGAGAACGCGGTCACAGGGAGGTCGCTGTGAAATTCCTCAGGCCCGCCTCCCCCAGGTTGGGATGAGAGCAGTCTGCAGGAGGCTAGAAAGAATCCTGGGGCCCAAGGGTAGGTGGAGTTCCAGCCCTGGAAGGCAGCGCCTGTCTCTGTGAAGGGGGCTGAGTGCCAGGCCGGGAGGGATGTACTCGGCTCAGGCTAGCCCCTGTGAGGTGTCCATGAGCCCTCACTCACTGTGTGTGTGGTTTGGTCAGCCTGGCTAGCCTGGAACAGTCCAGGGCTAAAATGCGGACCTGCCCCTAAGCGGGGAAGTCATGAGAACATGAGAGTCTGGGCCCCAACCAGCACTGAACACCCTGACTGGTACTCTGCCTAGCCCCTCCCCTCTGCACTCCTCAGATCCTAAGAAAATGTGCTGACCTTTGCATAAGAAAAATGCCTCCTGGCTGCCTGTGCGTCCCAGTTCCACATCCCCTTCCCCAGCATCCTCAGTCCCAGCCAACGCCTTGCCTCATCCTCCTCCCAGAAGAAGTGCCTGATGGGAGAATCTTGCCCACGCTGGGTGAGGACTGAGCGGGCACACACCCTCCAGCAGCCCCTACCCTTTTTGGAGGATGCCTCTGAGAAGGCGTAGCCTGGAATGGAAGGGCAGATGACTTCAAAAACATGCTCGTCGCTGAGGCCGTGGCTCTTGGGGTCAGTCAGGAGAGGGATGATCTTATAAAATTCGTAGAAGGAGCCGGGCCAGCCATGAACCATTAGCAAGGGCTTCGGGGTGCGGCCTGCGGGCAGCTGTGGAGGCTTCACGTGGATGAAGTGGATGTCGAGGCCTGGGGGACAGAGCACAGTCAGGGGTGGGAGAGAAGACAGCCCACAGCTGGGGGGCTGCAGTCCTGACATGCGGACCTCAGAGTGTCTGGTCAGGCACTCCACCTGCTCCCACTGTTAACCGCCCCCATCATGATATTGCTCACGGCAACAACAGCCAACACCTATCCGGGCGCCCTCACTTGGCCTCCACAGCAACTCGGCAAGGGAGATGCTGTTATTATCCCATTTCACAGAGGCGCTGGACTGGGGAAAAGCTACTGTAGTACCTTTGACAAAGATTAAAAACCAAACCCGTTGCTGTTGAGTCGATTCTGACTCATGGCGACTCCATGTGTTAGAGTAGAAGTGAGCTCCATAAATTTTCTTGGATGTAATCTTTACAGAAGCAGACTGCCAGGCCTTTCTTCTGCAACCCCGCTGGGTGGGTATGAACTGCCAACATTTCAGTCAGTAGTCTGAGCACAAACCATTTGTGCCACCCAGGGATCACTGACCAAGAACGAATCACCTTTATCCCTGAAAGCACTTATAAAACAATAAAATACACAACCACTTGCTAGAAATATGGGCAAAGGAAACAAATGAGCAATTGATTTAGGAAAAAAGTGGCAAAAAGAAAAAAATTATGCAACCCAGTTAGTCTAAGAACTACAAATTAAAACAAGGTAGTATTTTTTCTTTTACCCATTAAATTGGCAAAAAAACAAAAAGTACTACCCAGTGTTGTCAGGTCTTTGGGGAAATAGGCACATGTATGCAAATAATGAAAGCAGAAATTAGAAGTGAACAAGTTTAAATGCTGGCTCACTCCAATAAACAGGCCTCTGAGTACCATTCAGTTAGCAAGTCCCCCTGAGTAACTGTGTTTCTAAGGAGATGCTGCCCCACCTACGCCTCTGAGCACCTGCCAATCTCTGAAGTCCTTGCTTCCCCCAAATCCCACACAAGATCAGCCGTCCACTCTGCTCGGTGGGACTGGGCTGACCAGCACCGCTCTCCCTTACTAGGGTAAGCAATACATTCAGCTTTGTTTTTTTAGCTCCAATACTGAGTGAGGTCTCAATATCCTTTAACAGTACCTTTCTAGAAAACAATTTGGCAATACATGTTTTGATATTCTTAAAATGTGTAGGTATATGTCCTTTAAGGAGCCCTGGTGGCGCAATGGTTAAGCGCTGGGCTGCTCCCCTAAAGGTCGGAGGTTCGAACCCACCAGCAGCTCTGTGAGAGAAGAGGACTGGCAATCGGCTCCTGTAAAGAAGACAGCCTAGAAACCCTATGGGGCAGTTCTACTCTGTCCCACAGGGTCGCTATGAGTTGCAGTCGACTCAGTGGCACACAATGACATCATCTGTCCATTACCCCAAATCCATTTCTAGGATATGTGCAAAGCTGCACACTGTAACAGGGCTCTATTCATTATGTCCTCATACTCTGTGTAGTTTATAATGATACTCTCCACGAAGCAGCTAGCGTGATATGCGAAAATATGTCGGATCACACCACTCCCCTGCTCAGAATCCTCCAATGGCGCGGCCCATCAGGACTGGCTTCACGGAAGGGCCTCATGCTTGGTTTAATGCTCTGCTGTCAGCATCTGAAAGTTCTTAATTTTTGAACCAAGCATTCTGCATTTTCATTTCCACTGGGGCCCACAAATGTATGTAGCCCATCCTGGCTCCCATCCTCCCAGAGTAAAGGCCTCACTCTGACCCACAAAGCCCTCCAGGACCTGGCTCCCGGCTACCCCTCAGGGCTCGGCTCCTTCCAACTTCCTCCTCGCTCACTCTCCCCTCAGGGCCTTTGCACCTGATGTCTCCTGGGGGTTAACAAGTATCTTTTCCACAGACAGCGGAACTTCCTTCAGGTCTCTGCTCAGAAGGCACCTCAATAAGCCTTTCACGCCACAAAACAGTAATGCTCCCTCCCTCCAGGCTTGCTCCCTCCCTCCCGGGCTTCATTCTTCTTGGTAGCATTTATCCCCACCCGCGCACTGCCTGCTGTCTTCCCATCAGAATGTGAACCCGCGAGGGCAGGGCCAGGCCTGTTCACTGCCTGCAGTATTCCCAGAGCCCAGAACAGTTCTGCTCCACGCAGGCCTCAATGAATCCTTGTTTAATAATAAAAAAAAAATGGGAAAAAACCCTGTATATGCAGCAATGGCTAAATAAACAGATTATGGTTTAACAGGATACTAGACTACAATACAGTCATTTAAAATGACAGTGTAGATATATATTTATTTAACATAGAAAACAGCTCACTATACATTGCTGAGAGGTAAAAGCAAGTTACCGAGCTATACACATTGTATGGTCCATTTTTTTTTTATAAACTGTCACATGAATGTGTATAGGTATTGTGTATATATGAATTTTAAAATTCTAGGATAAACTGCAGAAACGTAAGACATGGTTCTCTTCAAGCAGTAGAATTTCAAGTGCTTTCATTTTCCTCTTTGTATCATACGCACTCTCCAATTTGTCTACAATGAACACATATTAAATGTGTAACTTTTTTTAATGGAGACTTTTGTTTTTAAAGAGTGCAGAGGACTTGGAACCATTGCCCCAGCCAAGGGCAGGGGAGTGGATTCCAGGCTCCTCCAGAGTCCCTCTGAGCCTCTGTCTCCACAGAGAGCAGTCTCCCCCTGCTGAATGGTGCTGCCCCAGCCCCAGTAGCACCTGGGCCTTCTCACAAACACAGCCAGGGTTGCTGACGTAACTGACCCCTCCACCGTAAGGGCTGGAGTTAGCAGTGTGGTCTGCCTAATGGTTCTGTTCTGTTGCGTTGTTAATCATTATACAAATAACATGTGTTTGCCGTAGAAAACTCAGAAAAGACAGATAACCAAAGGGAAAAAAATCTCGCGTAATCCCACTGCCTGAAGAGAAGACTATGCTGTCCCCTGCAGTCTTTTTTTTTAAATAACCTTTTTATTTTGCAACAGTTTTAGATTTACGGCAAAGGTGCAACAATACTACAGAGTTCCCATATACTCACACCTAGCTTCCCCTAGGAGCCCAGGTGGTGGAGTGGTTAAGAGCTCGGCTGCCAACTGAAAGGTCAGTGGTTAGAATCCACCAGCTGCTCCTCAGGAGAAAGATGCGGCAGTCTGCTTCCTTAAAGATTACAGCCTTGGACAAGCTCATGGAAGTTCCACAGACATATCCAAACTCCCTGAGGGACCAAATTACTGCGCTGAGGGCTGTGGGGACCATGGTCTTGGGGAACATCTAGCTCAATTGGCATAACATAGTTTATAAAGTTCTACATTCTACCTTGGTGAGTAGTGTCTGGGCTCTTAAAAGCCTGTGAGTAGCCATCTAAGATACTCCACTGGTCTCACCCCGTTGGGAGCAAAGGAGAATGAAGAAAACCAAAGACACAAGGGGAAGATCAGTCCAAAGGACTAACGGACCACAACTACCACAGCCTCCACCAGACTGAGTCCAGCACAACTAGATGGTGCCCGGCTATCACCACTGACTGCCCTGACAGGGACCACAATAGAGGGTCCTGGACAAAGCTGGAGAAAAATGTAGAACAAAATTCTAACCCACAAAAAAGGGCAGACTTACTGGTCTGACAGAGACTGGAGAAACTTCAAGAGTATGGCTCCTGGACACCCTTTTAATCAGTAATGAAGTCATTCCTGAGGTTCACCCTTCAGCCAAAGATAAGACAGGCTCATAAAACAAAATGAGACTAAAGGGGCACACCAGCCCAGGGGCAAGAACTAGAAGGCAGGAGGAGATAGGAAAGCTGGTAATAGGGAACCGAAGGTCGAGAAGGGGAGAGTGTTGACATGTCATGGAGTTGGTAACCAATGTCACAAAACAATACGTGTACTAACTGTTTAATGAGAAGCTAGTTCTGTAAACCTTCATCTAAAGTACAATAAGAAATAAAAAATAATAATAAAATAAAAAATTAAAAAATGGTTCATTAAAAAAAACAGATTACAGCCTTGGAAACCCTATTGGGCAGTTCTACTCTGTCCTCCAGGGTTGCTGTGAGTCAGAATTGACTCGATGGCAACAGGTAGCTTCCCTTATTAGTAACATCTTACCTCAGTATGGTACAGCTCTCACAATTAATGAACCAGCACTGATACACTATTACTAACTAAAGTCCATACTTTATTCAGTTTTCCTTAGTTTTCCCCTAATTCCCTTTCTCTGTTCCAGGACCCCACCCGGGACACCACATTACATACAGCTGTCACGTCTCCTTAGGCTCCTCTCGGCTGTGACAGTTCCGACTTTTTTTTAAAAAAAAAAAAAATTAGCAGACATAGTTTTCTTTTAACAAAAATAGACCTCTACATACATTCTATTTTGGAACCTTATTTTTTCTTTCACTGAACACTTGGGTGTCCTTGTATGGTGCTAAATTTGCTCCTGTTCTGAAGTTTATTTTAGTAGGTATCTTATGTCCTTTGGAACACACTGCATGATGTGAGGTTATTTTTTCTGCAGATTCTACCACATTATCATTTGAGTTTAAAATTAGAAACACACATGCTTGAGTATGCATCGGCCATCCCCGAGGGCATCTACGAGAAAAGCAGCCGCTGTCTCTGGGGAGGAAAACAGGTGGCTGGGGGTAGGGGTGAGAGGGAGACTTCCTTTTCACTGCATACATTTGATTTTTAGACCTGTGCATGTATTATATATTCAAAAATTTAAACAAACAAACAGAAAAACCCCACACCGCCTAATTTACCCTGTCCACCCCTCCTTCCCTTTGAGGAAGGACACACCCTCTCGGGGTTTCCCTGTAGGTCTGCACAGCCAGCATCACAGACCAGGAGCCAAGTGAACTGAGGAAGGCAGTGCTGGGCCTGGTGGGCCATGGGGTGAGGGTGCGGGGAGAGGGGTCCTTCACAGCCAGAGGGCCAAGCCCGGAGAGCAACCATGGGATGAAAGAAGAGGTTCTGGCCCTGAACCTCTACCTCCCTGATGATTCTGGGCAAATCCCTCCTTTTCACTGGACATGATGGGGCTGGGCTTACCCGCTGGCCTGTGACGCCCCTTCAAACTCCAAAACTCTCAGAGAGTAAGAGACTGATATCCTGCGGTGGGAGGCCCGGGGCATCGGTTAGGATTAGGAGCTCATCACGGGATAAGCCGAGAAGTGGCAGGAATAGAGAGGCTGATGGTGAGGCTGGTGGGGACCAGGTTAAGCCTGAGGAGCCAGGCGCACAGGGGTCGGAAGCAGGGACAGAGAGGACCCTGAAAAGGTCTACACATGCGAGCAGGATGGCAGCAAATAGAAGGAGAAGGTGGGTCCTCTAGCGCCAACCCCGGACGGGGGCACCCAGCAAAGGAGATGTGTTGAAGGGTCGCTGGGCCCAGGTCAGGCTGAACCTGAGCCCAGCTCTTCTTGCAGAAGGACTCCACACTGTAGGGACCAGGGCACGGCTAGTCCGCCAGCCCTGGGGAAGTGCATCAGAACGCACATGGGCTAAGCTCCCTTTGGAGCACTTGTACCTTGAAGGAAGTTTTATGCTATAAACATCCGACATCCTGTGATGTCCTTAGGAACTCCAAGATGGTACGTGGGGTCATGCTTTGGCCCCAAGTCTGCAGCGTCCAGGAGAGAAACAGCCTCTTATTTCCTCCTGCCTCTGAGTCTTTGAACATACTGTTCCCCTCTCCTGGACGACCTTCCCTACACACCTGGCAAACTCCTATTCATCCTTCAAGTCTCAGCTTAGACACCACCTCCTCCAGGAAGCGTTCCTCACACTGCAGGGTACAGCATGGGGCTCACAAAGCACCTGCCACGTCCTCCCTCATAGCACCCTCACAATTGTGTGCTATAATTGCCCCTGAGCAGCCCGTGAGTTGTGAGTGAAGCTGGGGACCCTGTCCCCTCTGACTGTGTATCCCTAGCCCCAGCGGAATGTCTGGGTACAGAGATGCCCTGTCAACACTGCTGGACAGATGCTGAAAAGTTGGGGCACTAGAGGGACCAAGTCACACCTAAGGAAGCTAGGTAATCTGGCAGCCCGGATCCACACGGCAACCTTTGGAAATTACATACAAGGACGTGAAGTGGCTTGGCTCCCCCTGCTGGCTCAGGACATAAGACATCAACTCTCTAAAGGACATAGCAGTCCTCATGAGGAGTCCAAATTTGACCCCCCAAAAAAATCATTCCAGAATTTTTTTCTGCTGCTTCTGACAGCTCCAGGAAGGGCTCCAGTTCCGGGACACAAACTGGGATTCTACCTAGATCCCAGAGAACGATCCAGGCTTCCCCCTGCGCCAACCCCATTCTTCCTCAGGCCCCGCCTCCTCATGTCTGGAGGGCAAGACATTTGCTGCCCAGGCTTCTCTGGTCAGGGTTTCCATCCATCCTTTCTTGCCATCCTCCTGGTCACCACTTGAAGTTGTTATTGTTGTTATGTGCCGTCGAGTCAGTTCCAACTCACAGAGACCCTACAGGACAGAGTAGAACTGCCCCATAGGGTTTCCAAGGGGCAGCTGGAGGATTCCAATTGCTGACCTTTTGATCAGCAGCTAGCTCTTAACCACTGCGCCACTAGGGCTCCTGAAGTAGGAACTGCCATTTCCCCATCACACAACAAGGCCTGGAGGGAGGGAAGGAGGCTCCGTTACAGTCGAGTCCTCCCCACTCACACGCAAGGCAGCATCCTAGCCTCCCAGCTGGCTGCAAGCCCCGCCTGCTACATTGTCCATATGAGGTTTTGGGTGACCTTGAGGATGGTCTTTACATGTAAAAGAGAACACTCAGCAGTTACTTTGGTTTTAAAAATTAATATTCAATTTATTAACGTTACAAATGAAAAGACCTAGTTTTTCTCTAAGCATGCAGCTTACAAGCCTTATTCTATATATTTATAAATCCATCAAATGCTGAAAGTCCCTCTCCAGGGACCTTTGATTAATGGGTGGCTGCATTTATCAACCTGCTTGATGACACTTCTTTAAACACCGTAAACTGCATTTATGATTTCAATTTCCTTTTTTAAGAACTTTAGCTGATCTTACTTTTCACATACTTTAAGTAATTCCTAGAATTCTGATAAATTAAGGGTATAATACGGTGAGGCTTAAATATGCAGTATTCCGATACGTCACATAAGATTGGAATACTCAGTAAGATTTCCATACGAAATCCCAAATCTAAAGCCATTACTCGATTATCCATTTTAAATTATAACTAAAAGTCTAATCCACTTGAAAAGGCCAAATTCTTTTAAGTATTACAAATATTTGAAATTCCAAACATGCACAATTTCAACATAAAACAGTACCAGTGTGGGTTTCATTTTCTTACTTACATTTCCATGCTTGATTCTAAATCTTTCTGGGGTTAAAAGAGACTTTTCCAATAAGAAAACTATTACCTCACCCAAATGATTTTGAGATTACCTTCCCAAGCCAATTCTGAGAGAAACCATCTTGTCCAGGTGAGGTTGGGTGACAACCTGGGACACTGTTGCTAAAGACAGACAGGGCCATTTTTCTCAGGGCCCTGACCTACAGGCCTTGACCAGTCACAACGACGATATCATGGACTCCGAATCAGCAAGAACTGGTGAACCCCTGAGGCCGTGCCCAGGTCTAAGTCTTATCTCCACGCTCTCAAAGAAGCCTCTAAGCCTCGCTTAAGAGAGTTATATCACTGAACTGCATTCTGCACTTTTTTGTTTTAAAATTATTTATGTACTTTACTGTCTAGTGCTAAGGATCACTGGGTTTGTTGGGATTTTGTATTCTTTTTGTACCTGGGTAGGGCTACACCTTATATATATTCCAGTGACCACTCAACTGGATTCTGGGTCTTCCCAGCTTAGTCTGACTCTAAGTCAGGTCATGCAAGAAGGCCATTGCCATGACACACCCCGCCCTCCAGTTGGGGATTTGGAAGCCTACCTTCAATCTTCGTCTTGAAGTGGGGGTATTTGTTGATAATGTCCACCTGTTTCTTCCAGTCAAATTCATTCCTCCAGTAGGAGAGGATTTTCTTCAAATAGTTGGAGTTGAAACCGTAGTGGAAGTAGCTCTCCTCCAAAGGCGGCCTTAAACGGGTCTTATCAATCCTCCAATGTAAGTCCTGAGGGGGTGGGGTGGGGCACAAGAGAAAGCTTGTTTCCAAAAGGCAGAGCAAAGCCTGAAGCCGGCACACTAGAGTGGTGGCAAAGCAAAGGTTCATCGGTGAGGATTAGGAGCGCAGGTCTGTAGGCCTGTGCTCAGGGGTGGTCAGGTTTATCCCAGAAGAAGCCTCCTTGTTTCCCACGACAGTGACTACTCTCGAAGTATGGGTGTCCTTCACTTTCCACTTCAGGTTTACTTCTCATCTTTAATTTCTTAAATGTATGACTTATATATAGCAGGGTGATAAACCCCAGTGGTGCAAACTGTTAACACGCTAGGCTGCTAACTGAAAGGCTGGAGGTTCGAGTCCACCCAAAGGTGCCTTGGAAAAAAGTCCTGGTGATCTCCTTCCAAAAAATCAGCCATTGAAAACCCTATGGAGCATAGTTCTACTCTGACACACATGAGTGAGGTCACCATAGGTCAGAGTCAACTCCATGGCAACTGGTTCTTGGTCATGTATAGCAAAGGTCAGCAAACTGTTTCTGGAAAGGGCCAGATAGTAAATATTTTAGGCTTTGCAGGCTGCAACTACTCAATTTTACCCTTGTAGCGTGAAATCACCTACGGACAATACACAGACAAATAAGTGTGGCTGTGTTCCGATAAAACTTCACTTATTCAACAAAATTGGAATGTCATATAATTTTTTGGTGTCACAAAATATTATTTTTCTCTTGATTTTTTTTCAATCATCTAAAAATGTAAAATCCATTCTTAGCATGTGGCCATATAAAACGTGGGGGCAGGCCATGGTTTGCTGACCCCTGATATGCAGCATCGAATGTTTCATTATAACCCAGCTGGGATACACATTACGGACCAGGAGAGAGGGTGCAAGCTGAACAGGCATGTAGCAGGTTAAAGAGACCAGCCCCCAGCGGAGAAAGTTCTCCTCTGTTCACGGAGCATCCCAAGCCTTCCCAGGGCTTCCTCCCAAGTGCTTCAGGAACCCCCAGGTGATTTCAGAAACCTTAGAGGGAGTCTAAGAACTCACTAGGGGACTTATTCTCAGGGCTCAGACTCTGTCCTAGATAACGAGGCCCTACAGAGTCTCCGGGTGGTGCAAACAGTTAATACACTCAAGTGCTCACCAAAACGTTGGCAGTTTGAGTCCACCCAGAGGTGCTGCAGAAGAAAGGCCTAGCAATCTACATCCCCAAAAATCAGCCATTGAAAACCCCATGGAGCACAGCTCTTCTCTGACCCACACATCGCCATGAGTTGGAATCAATGGCAACTGGTATATGTATACCACAGGAGTCTCAGCCTGGTTTCTCTGGGTGACGTCCAGTTCCTATGCTTTAATCCCTTCCTCCTCTGAACTCTTGTGACTTCCTACCGGTGCCTCTTATGGCATTCATCCCTATTAATCTTTCAGCTAAGTTTTCTTTGTACACATTCCTTTTCTCACCTACTGGACTATGTGCTATTTGGAAGGGTCTCTCTCTTCTTCCAAGCACCCAGCAGACTGCCTGCTCACAGGGGGTGCTCAGATACCCACAGAATGAAAGAGAGAGTGGACAGGGACACTCCAGGTCCCACCCACCCTCTGGCGCCGCACAAGCCTAGCTCCTCTGTGAGGCTGCCCTCTCATGACCCCACCCCACTGGTCACTACCCGCCTGACTCCAGCCCTGTGTGGTGGAGAGGGCAGCGGCTTTGGAGTGAGACAGGCCTGAGTCCACATCCTGCTGCTTATTAACTCGGTCACCTTGGACGGTGTGCTTTTATGTCTCTGAGCTTCAGTTTCTGCATCTGTCAAATGGGAACAACAGTCCTCACTCTACAGGATTACTGCAGGGACTGAATGTGATAAAGAATGGCTGGGCACACAGTAGGTGCTTCATCGATGCTGGCCCTGCCTTCTCAGCGCTACAGAGTTTACACCGGCACCACCCCACTTTTCGCTCGGGGCCGCCGGGAACCTGCTCACTTTCTCCCGTGAGCCCACTCCCACGGTTTCAGGTGGGGCACAAAGGAGGTGAAAACAGCTGCTTTCTGTGAGCACTTCATTGTATCCAGCTGGCACCTGCTCTCTGCCTGGGCACTGCTGGGACCTTGGGGAGGGAAACGGGGTGCAGTGGAGGGGAAGGAGCAGAAGGAATGTGGTGGGTGGCGAGCTGGGACGCCTCTCTGGAGAACCTGTGTCTGCTCAGTGGGGAAAGAGTAGACACACTAAAGAGGGGGGCCACTTCCCAAGCCCCCAGCCCCTCCCGGTCCAGCCGCAGGCCCAACCCCAGCCTTGCAGAAATCACAGATAGGGCTTCCCTACTCCCCTTCGCTCAGCCCTGCCTGGGAAAAGGTGCCTTACGTTGATCTCCTCGTCCGACGTTTCCACCTTGAAGGGACGGATGCTCTCGTCCTCCCCAGGGGTGGGCCTCGTCCCCGGCCCCCACCACCCATATTCAGTGGGCAAGGTTTCTTCCTTGTCCTTGTCCCGAGAGACAAACCAGTAGATGGCAAAGCCCAGCGCAGAGGCGAGGAGGATCTCCAGCCACATGACTTCTGCAAGAGGGGGGAGACTCCGTCAGCAACAGAGACCACCCAGGCCCACCCCAACCTTGGGGCCGGAGACCCCAGACACCCACGAGTTCCTGTCCGACCCTTGATTTTATGTATTTACGAACTAAAAAAAAAAAAAGCATAATATAGAAAAATTGGGAAACAATAGAAAATCACCCATAATCCTACTAAGCTATGAAACTGTCAACTAGGATTGGAAAAATACGAACCAGGGTTGGCCTCTGACAGCCCCTGGTGTCGGCGTCCACTTCTGTGGCCTCATCTGTCCATGAGGGACTTGTGCTTCAGGCACTTGTGAGAAGGCTTCTCTCACGCCCTCTCAAAGCCCTCCCCATGGGAAGAGGAGTGGTGGGCTCTGGAGAAGGATGGAGCCTGTGGCCCAGCCCCCTGCTCTCTCCCTGAAAGGGGCCTCAGGACATCCAAGGGGCAGGAGAGGTCTGGGTGCTAAGCGGTTAGGTTCCCTTCAGGGGTGCGTCAGGAAACCCAGCCACAGCTCACATGTCTGCTGTGTCTTGATCCCCATTTGTCTGATTCCATGTCTTTTTTCTCAGAAGGGGGAGAGAGAGGAGCTCAAACCCATAGCAGGAAGATTCTGGTCCCAGCATTGTTCTCTAGCTCATCTTCCACACTCCCAGGGAAGTAGCCCCAGAGAACATGCCAGAGGTCAGAGGGGGGTGGTGCTGGCTGCAGTGCAGTGAGGACCCAGCGGGGGGGGGGGGGGCGTGTCTGCGCTCAGGCCCTGGCCGATTCCACCCCAGCACCACCACTGAGACTCTGTCTTGGAAGCTCCGGGCAAGAGAAGCCCAGGCCCTGCTGGGGAACCCGCACCCTTCCTAGTCTCTACACGCTCTATGCTCCACAGGTTAGATGTACAGAACCTCCCCTGGACCAGAGCCACGTCACTTCATGCCCAGATGACTTTCAAGAGAGGCAACCTCCAACCCCACGTCTCAGGTCACCAGCACGTGTCTCAGAACCACCGCAGCGTTCTGGACATTCCCTGTGTGCCCCAGCCCCTGAATTTGGGATGAAGAGCTGGCTCACCTCCCCCTGAAGCTTAGAAGTCTCAAGGTCTCATTTTCTCAGTATGGACTGTAAGTCCAGATGTGCCTGAGCAAAGGCCTCTGCCACCCGAGCAGGGAGGCGGCGTGTGGTTTGCTGGCACCCGCTCTGCCCCCAGCCTGAAGACAGTTAAGGCTTTTCTCTTTCAATCCCAAGTCTGACCCCAGTGCCCTATACGTGCCAGCTGAATGGATGATGATGCCAGCACTCCTACAATTAAAACAAGGTAAGGGATAGCTGGTTCCTGGATGGTGCAAGTCGTTAATGCACTTGACTACTAACCAAAAGGCTGGAGGTTTGAGTCCACCCAGAGGTGCCTCAGAAGAAAGACCTGGTGATCTACTTCTAAAAATCAGCCATTGAAAACCCTATGGAGCACAGTTCTACTGTGACACACATGGGGTCGTCATGAGTTAGAGTCGACTCCGTGGCAACTGTTTTTTTTAAGGGATAGCAGGAGATGAGTCCCTCCTATTTTAAGGAATTCAGAAAAGAAAACTTCCACAGGCTTCCCCCATTTCCAGAAAGACCCTCTGTCCTGGCCAGGAAATTCTACCCTTTGAGAAGATGACGAAGAGTCAGCTTCTAGCCTCTGTGATATCTTAAAGCAAGCCTAGGCTTCGAGTCTGTGGGACATGTGGGGGAGCGTTGAGAGGAGCTGGAGGGCAGAGGCCCCCAGCAGCAGCAGTAGAAGGACACAGTCCACCTAGCAGAGACTGTCAGCATGGGCAGGCAGGGACTGTGTCTGTCCTGGTCATGCCCTAACCAGGTCCACCCAAGCGAGACACTCAGTCAATATTTGTGCAAACAGTGTATATGGTGGAAGCAAACAGCATAAATTTTGCATGAGGTTGTAAAGGGAGCTGCAAGCATAAAGAACAATAAAGAGGGGTCAAGCAAACCCCAAGTTCCCAAGAGAACTTTACAAACTGTTCTCCTTACCTGACTTCAGCAGAGCGAGGTCAAGAGCACCGTGTCACTGCCCTCGGGATAAAATGTCCAACTTTCCCTTTTCTAGACAGAATTATCCAGCACTCTCATCTGTCCCCGCGGCCTTGCATCCTCACCCTTTAAACCTTTCTCGGGAAGCGGGGAGCAGGGAGCTCTGCGCACAGCCACACTCGAGGGCCCAAGGCTGCCACACGGAGGCTGGGCTTTTATACAGCCTCGCAGGCCTGCCGAGTCAGCAGATCTGATGTGTGCACAGCGTGTTATCTCCCTGGACTTCAAACAGCAAACTGAACCATGCTAGCCCAGAGACAAAATGTTGAAAGACTGGTACTCAAGAGCCCACCTCAGTGAATGGGCAAGGTCCAAAGCAAGGAGCACTACAGCGGCTCAGGGCTTGATGGCTAAAAACCAGAGCAAAGTAAGACTCAGATAGAAACTGAGGAAGCTCCTATCTTGCATTATCATTAAGATAACAAGAATATTAATGTTTGGCTCAAAGACAGGGCTTCAGGGTCTCTCATCTTGGATTTCAAAGCAGGTTTTACTGCAGGTGCAGGTACGTATATTTGCAACCCAGTAACTGCCCTTCGGAGCCCTGGTGGTGCAGTGGTTAAGAGTCTGGCTGCTAACCAAAACGTCGTAAGAGTTTCAGTGTACCAGCTGCTCCTTGGAAACCCTGTGGGGCAGTTCTACTCTGTCCCACAGGGTTGCTATGAGTCGAAATTGACTCGACAGCAGTGGGTTTATTTTTAACTGTGCCCTTTACTTAGTGTTTTGGTTGTTAGCTGCCATGGAGGCAGCTCCAACTCATGTCAACCCCATGTACCACAGAACGAACCACTGCCCAGTTCTGCACCATCTTCATGATCGTATGTCTGAATCCATTGTTGCAGCCACTGTGTATTCTGAGTGCCTTCTAACCTGCAGGGCTCATTTTCCAGCACTATCTCGGACAACTTTTGTTGTGATCCATAGGGTTTTCATTGGCTAATTTTTGAAGTAGATTGCCAGGTCTTTCTTAGTCTAGAAGCTCCACTGAAACCTGTCCACCATGGTGACCTTGAAATACCAGTGAGCATAGTTTCCAGCATCATAGCAACAGGCAAGTCATCACAGCACGACAAACTGACACTTGGGTGGTGGCTGATGTAATAGTGGGAGCAAATCCACACAAAGCAGGGTGCTCTAGGTCAGCCCACGTAACAGACGTTGACTGTCTGCAGGTAGGCTTTCACAGATGTGATAAAGCAAAGTATGTGCAAATCCACACACTAAGGGGCCACAATTCATCAAAATTAACTTTTCTTTTCACTTATTTAAGGCAAGGATCAGAGGAGGCAAGGGCCTTGCCCCAAATCACATGGCAATTGTGAGAATTAGAATTTAAAGCCAAAGATTAATTTCCCATCTGTCTTTCGGTATGTTGCACCCCTCTCCCCCAGTCTTATCTCCCCTCAACACCCCTTTTCAGCCCTGAGCCTTCAAACCTGCTCTCTGGGACCCCTAAGAATACACAGCAATGACTGCCCGGGGCCGCAGCCTTCTGCCCCAGCATGCCTCCCAGGCCTGCACATCTTTCCCAAAAAACTGAAATAACAATAAACAAAACCTTCCCCTTGCTGGGCACAAGAAGAGCTGAGCTTCAATGGAGAAGAAGGTGGGCCAAGTTGTTCAGGGCCTGGCTTTTGCCCTGGAAGGGGTGGGCCTGGAGTCGGACCAATCAGAGTTCATGCTCCCATTCTACCTTCAGCTTAGTTCAGCCACACACTCTTCATTTGTAACCTAGTAAATCTGCTAAGCTCATGGTGACCCCATGTGTGTCAGAGTAGACTTGTGCTCCAGAGGGTTTTCAGTGGCTGAGTTTTCAGAAATAGACGGCCAGGCCTTTCTTCTCTCCTCATCTGTAAGTTATGATAACTATTGTCCCTATCGCCCAGGGCACGGAGGAAGGACTTGGAAGTGCTAGGCCCACAGCAGTCTGGTACCTGCTGTGCCAAGCTGCCCTCGGGCCTCTGAGCCCCTCCCCAGGGCTGCTGAGGGGCTGCTGTTTTATTTGGAATATGAGAAAAAAAAAGGTTTAAAGCTCAATAACCAGGGCTCCTCCCTGTCTGCCCAGCTCCCTGGACCAAACCTACTGTGTGTGGAGCCAGCTGTTGGCTCTCTCGTTCCTCCCCAGGGTGGTTCCTTGGGTTGCGCTAGTGGAGGCAAACACCACAATGGGGAGTGGGGAACTGTTCACAGTGAACCCAAGCCCAGCTGGACTCTCAGGAGCAGCAGGCCTGGGTGGGGAGGGGTGGCACTAGGCAGCTGACAGAGCTGTCCCCTCTCCAGGCCTCTCTCACTGCCACCTGCTACCTAACAGGAAGAAAACTGTTGCATTGGCCCACCCTCTGCAGGGCCGACCAGTCAGAGCCACTGGACATAGAAGCCGGAAGGGAACTCAGCAGTCTCGAGTCCAACCACCTTACTTCAGAGCTGGGGAAACTGAGGCCACAGGGAAAGTGATTTGCCCCAGGTTATGGGGCCAAGGATGGCACCTCTGGTATGAAGGGAGAATCCCTGTGCTTCCTGTGGGCTGTGGTAATTGCTCTAGGGCAGGTTCCTCACTCTCAGCACTACTAATATTTTGGACCCAATAATGCTTTATTGTGGGGGGCTGTCTTGTGCATTGTAGGGTGTTCAGTGGCATCCCTGGCCTCTACCCACTAGATACCAGTGAAATGTCCCTCCAACTCTCCCCACCCCCTACAGTTTGTGACAACCAAAAATGTCTCCAGGCATTACCAAATGTTCCCAGAGGGGTGAAATCACGCTAAACTGAGAACTACTGCTCCAGACCAGTGGGTCAACTTTAGGGTAGATCAGAATCACCTGGGTAGGAGGTTGACCCAAGATGGTGGACTAGTCAGATGCACTAAGCCATCCTGCTGCAACAAAGACCCAAACAACCAAGTAAAACTGATACAGGG